GTTAGACGTTAAATCATCGTTGCACATTCAGGCTTCTCGTGTCTTGTAGTGCAGCTTCTCCAACAGAAGAGGGAGACAGAAGAGGGAGACAGAAGAGGGAGACCCACATGGAGTAATAACCTCGTCTTCTCTTTAATTGTCCCATCTGAAGATCATAAATATAGCTATTATCTTGTCCTCGTGTCACCACAAGATTGTAAACACCACATGTGGCTAATTACACGTCGTTTTTGAATGCACCCTCCCTAAAAATGATGCTCTTATTGCAAAAGTGAGTGAGTTGGAGGCCTGTATAATTATGGAGAGAAGACATAACATGGGCCACTTGGAGGACAACTAAATGTCTCGGCGTTGATGCTTTTTGGGTTCATTGTCCAGCTGCATCTCACAAAGCTCCCCCCCCCCCCTGTTTATCAGCACCTGAGTTTGTTTTGAAAAGGAATACATTTCTTCCAGATGTAACAACAGACAGAGCTCGGTCTTATTCTGGTGGTGGTTCATGCCTTCATGCCCTCTTCATTGCCAGCTCCAGGTTGGATCTGCCCCATAATGCCTTGGGGCTTTCATTCCTCACCTTGGCAAACTTCCTCCCCGAACTGTCCAATGTTCATACCATCGCCCCTCAGTCATGAACTCCAGGAAGACCTGCTCGCCAGATGTCACGCCAACATTCCTGTCCTTGGTGGGACTGACACCGCATGTTGTCACTTGCACAGAAGAGCAGGCTGACAGAGGTTGGGGTTTTTTTGGGTGGGGGTGGGGGGGGGTGTTATCGCAGAAAGGCCGGCTCCCCCCCGTCTGCGAGGAGGGCGGGCGTGGCCCTCAGGAATGCATCGACTTGCGTGCTTCTCACGCCAGAACTGTCATCATAAAACTCCTATCGGCTCTCGGTGCTCGGGTTTTTATTACCACACAGTACTGCACTGTGTGCGCCTATCAGCACCTTACTGATAAGAGCCACATGATTGCATCACATTACAAGTGCTTCATAAACATCATACAGGATTGTGTTTTAAATCAATAATTCACAGCTGATCTCACTGCATCTGATTGTGTCAAGACTTCAATCAGCTGCTATCTGCACACATTCAGAGTTTAGCATGCAGTGTTTTGGGAGCTGCACAACACGACAGCAATAGTTAAACTGCTTTTTTTACACACGTTGTACTTTTCTGATTCTAGAGCCACTAAATAATCTCTGACCGCGCTCACATCCTCTCATGCTCTCTGAGGCAAATTTGTGATTTATGATAACTTGAATGTCCTCGGTTGCTGCACGACAAAAGTACGATCCTAGGATTATGTTTTCAGCACGTACAAACCCTATAGTGTCAAGTTGAGTGCTGCAGCTTCCACACACACAAGTCCTGACAAGCCATCTCCCTGTGTAGGTATCAAAAAAAACAATCTCTCCTTCACTCCGTCTTGTGTCAGTATCTGCACGGAATATTGATGCTCCCAAGGGTGAGAGGTGATGCAGGTATTTTAGGTGCTCTGGGACATGCATGTGGTAGTGAGTTGTGCTGCTGGAAAGAAGTTTTATTGCATGAAAAAGATGCCGATGTAACAATGCTCCTTTTTTCTTTTTCCACTCATGCACATGGACTCGCACTGTTCAGTCCATACAGAGCCACAATAGCTGCTTTGTGTCTGGGAGCACTTTCTGCTGCAGCGTGGTTACTCTATTAAGATCTTTGTTGTTTTTTTTTATAAGCCACTGGCTCACCAGAAGCAAATTATTCAAAATTGGAAATTCACCATAAGAGCATTAAAATGTTGGTCTCGCAGGTTGTTCTCATTAGAGATCTATAACTGCTTCTGTTCGTCCTGCTGCTGCGCTGTACGGAAACAAACCCCTCAGAGCCAGTTCCCCCTCTGGTTGTGTCCTCACGCTCGAGGTTTTTCTCGTTCTGTGTCGAGAAATGGCGGCGGACGTTTGTTTCCATCGCCCGGCCCCCCATCCGTGTGGAGGAACAGGCTTTTCATTGAGGCTCCGGTTGCGTGGCAGGTCCAGCCTGCCAGCCTCCGACCACACAGCGGTGACTGCCAGCCTGCGCTCGTGGAGCTCAGTTTGTGTTAACAAGCTCCAGTGGGCCGTATCTGTACAGCTGGGTCTATATTAGGGAATACCCCCCTTGTCTTTTTGACAAACGAGTCTCGAGGACACACACTGTATGTTTTGGAACAGCATGGTTTTTGTGCCGTCCTCCATAAGATGAACCGAGTTAAAGCTTCTGTTTTTGACACATTAGACTGACCTCTGACCTTTCTCTCCAGATACACAGAAATGATCTTGCGTTTGAGGACCAGATTGTGGACAGCTGTGGAAATTGGGCTTTGTTGCTAAACAATAAAATGTGAAAAGGATCCGTTTTTTAAAGTTGTTTGTTGCATTAAGAACGTAGTTGCTTGACAGCTGAAATCCCGGATATCAGACTATCCTTGAAAATACTAAGCTTGCAGTGAAATGAGTCTAAACTAAATGAGTTTGAAAATGTTTGTCATTAGTATAAGATAAATGCAACATGTAAAACAAAAAGCTGTCTTTGGTCTCTTAGCTGCTCATCGCATCTAAAGTGACTATTTGTGCGACTGTAAAGTAAACTTGGAGACACACAGAAGTTAATGACAATCTACATATAATCTAATCTACATATCTGTGCGTCTGCTATAATCAGTGCAGGGGTCTGTGCTCAGTGGAGGTCTCTGGTGTGTGGTTTGGTGGGCGGGACATAACAGGGCTGGTCCAGGAGGGGAGAATCTTCCCTCTGCTCCCACAGATCACTGTCTGCGTGTTGAATGACAGCTTCTGACATCGTAGCCCCGGGCAGGCATTTTGCAAGGGCTGCTGGAAGAAAAAAGAAAAACAAATTGCAGACTAGAATGTCAGAGACATGCACAGGAAGGGGAAAAAAAGGGAGTAAGAACTGAATCAGTGGCCTGAACACTCCCACTTAACTAAAGGATCACACTGTGAAGCAGAGTCTCAGGCAAGAAGAAGAAGTCAAAAAGCAGACACCGTCGTCTCTCAACCTGCTGAGTTGTTGTTGATCTCTGAGATAAGGCCGGCATGGCGACAGAGAGGAGATTCAGAAACTACTCCTCTGACAGTGTGGGTAGCGACGTGGTCTTCATAGAGGACTCCCCCTATCAGGGGATGCTCAAAGCCATGGATCACAGGAAAGGTAGAGTCATCTTTACATTGTTTCAGTTGTACAGGCGTGGAGGCCTGTTGTGTTTCCTCTGCTAATTTAATTCTAGTTTTATTTTTAAGTTTTCTTGTTGTATCCATCACACCAGGGTTAAATTCTTTGGTAATCTATGAAGAACTGGTGTAAACGTAGTTTGATGTCTGAAAGGTAGAATCTACGTCGGTCTACCCTGCGGTGGTCTTCTTGAATCAAACGGGCCACGCCCCTTCATGTGTCACGCCGTTTCCTCTTTTTATTGGTCCCATGTGCTGACACCCATTTTGATACCATAGATCGACTAAGCAGTGACGATATCTGGCAGGACTCGCTTTCTAATTACTCGTTAGGTTGGCTGCAGCTCAGATGACAGGCTGCCTATTTAAAGACAAAGGATCTTCTTCTTCTAATCCAGCTATCAGATGCATTAACCAGACTTCTTTTTTCTTGTGCCAGAAAGTTTGTGTCCTCTTTCCGTGTGACGCTCCACATTACAGCCGCATACAGCATGCTGCGATGAACAGACTATGACTGTTCTTTCAGGAGACTCGTTATCTCTCACCTCATCTTTGACTGAGCGGATGAAAGGAAACATCCACAGCTCGGCCTGCTGCTAAGCAAACACGTTATTTGTAAGAGGGATCGGGTAAAGTTAGCTTTGGTGTCGTTCATTTCTCCTGTTTGAGTTTTTGAATGTTGTTAGACCTCGATCATGAACAACAGTGTCCCGAGCAGCCGGAATAACAGCCGCCATGTCAGCAGATTTGTTTCCTACAGAACTTATAATTGACTTGAGGAATTCCTCTGCCTTTTGGGTTTATTTCACTCTGAAACAGTCACGAGCGCGTCTGTGAGTCAGCGGCATGATGCCCCCCCGACATGGGCGTCGGCACCACGGGATGTCGCTTCCTTCGCTTCCTTCGCTCTCTCTGTTCCCTCTTCATCTGATCTCTCCAATCCATCCAGATAATGTAATCAAGCTGTGTGACCAATAAAACAACATATTGCTTTCACTGTTTCTTCAGATTGGGTCACTAATCACTTCTCTTCAAAGGCAGACTTGTTTTGTTGCATCATACCGGCCTCTGCGTTTGACAGCCACTCTCATCGCCACAGCGAGGAAGTGAAAGTGTTCCTGTGGTAGTTGGTTGAGAAGGGAAAAAAAATGAGGGAAAACATTGCACAAGATCAACCTGCTGGTATGCGAGAGCCCTGTTCGTAGTAATCATACTGTGAAGTCAAAAACAAAACAGCACCAGTCGTGCATGTAGAAACACGTTCCTGTAGAGGTGCTAATCTGAGGGATGTCGGCGGTAAATTACACGTCTCACCTGACAAGCGACAAGACAGCTTTTATTTCCTTTATGTGGATGGACTCATCCACATATCCTCGTTATTGTTGTATGGGATGGGAATTTAGTTTTTTATGACCGGATCCAATTCTTGCTTAATTTGACTGCCTCGGGCCTCTAAAAATCATTTGACATTGCTCCCTCTGAAGAGCTCGTAAACCCACACATTTGGGAGTCATTGCTCTATAGATAGAAGTCTTCCAGGCAGCCCTTGTGAACAAAAATCTATTTGCATTTTAGACTTGTAACTAACTTGATAGATAATCACTCTCCGTGAGCATTTTAAGTTGTGTCATTGTAATCATTAAACATCCAGTACAAATAGTGATACAGGGATAGATTATGTATCTATTTTTATGTATATACGTGTTATGTCCCTGTTCATAGCATGCTGACATTAATGTAAATGTTTTGTACGAATGATCACCGCTGAGCGTCTGTGTGATCTGTCTCTCCACAGATGAACGTGACCGAGTTCAGAAAAAGACCTTCACAAAATGGGTCAACAAGCACCTGATGAAGGTAACATCTGTCTCCAGCAACACTCATAAGGCAATACTTACTGTCATACAAATGTACGTTTCTTTAGAGATGATGCAGATTATGAAACAAGAAAGAAAAAAAAAAGGTAAATAAACTCTTCACTTCAGCTTGTAACTGAGTGAATTCTTCCTGGTAAACAGAAGGACTTCAGCTGTGTAAGTTCAGTTCCGGCAGGTACTGTCATATCCCACCTGGTGACAATGGCTTCAACTACACTCAGGAGGTAATGGACTGTCTGATCTAACTGAGTCTCAGGGCTGTAAAAACAGATGAACTGGAAACCGATACACGAAGCAAAATCACTTCAAAACAAGTGAAACCTAACCCTCACCCTCTCTGGAAAAGTTGAAGAAAAAAAACAAAACACATACAAACAGCTGCTCCTTTGTGTTAACTGTATGCAGGGGGTGTCAGGGGGTGAGTCACGGACACCTGGCCTCGCTTTAGGAACAGCGGCATCGCTCAGGTTGTTACATCTGGCCTCCAGACCTTCTCAGGGCTCTGCAGGGGAACAGGAACCTCCACAGCTGAACTGTGTGTGTGTGTGTGTGTGTGTGGGGGGGGGTTAATATGTTTGCAGCCGTGATACTGTAAGGCAATACTTGTCTAGGGTTCTGGCCCATGATCCTTAAAAAAGGAATCACATCCTATGTGTAATGCAAGCCCCAGCTCTATGTAGTCAGGTGCAGAATACAGGGCTGCGGCTACAATGACAATCATTTTACATATCAATTAATTAGTGATGAAACTATTCGTCATTTGACAGAAAACAAGTGATTTATCAAGCTCAACATTCACTGTAATGTGAAGATGGCTCTGACTATTTGCTGTCCTTCTATAGACTAAAAGATTAAGAAGTGAATCCACTAAAACATCAAGACTGTTATCAACTAAATTAAAATGTTTCATACAGTCTACGGTTAAATGACTCCCTTACAGACACGTTCAGGTCGACGAAGCCATGTTTTCACACAGGAACTGAAGTGTGTTAAACTGTGAGGAATGTCTGCTGCCCTCTCCGTGTGCGTCCTGTCCCAGACGACCCGTGGTCCTCGTTTCTTTGTCTGGAAATCCCCCAGATTTGGGTCCAAAAGAGCCCGAGCGGGTTGGCGATCTGGCTGCCCTCGAGGCATTTTTGGACAGTCATGTGATTAAACTACGAGGACACGAACGCTCCATTTTTGTTCGACAGCTGTCTCCACTGTAGCGCGTCTTCAGATTACAGAGAAGGAAGACCAGACGTAGTTCTGTGTTTGATTTCATTTTTTGCGAATCCTACATCAATGCAGACCACAAACATTGATAAAAACAATACTGAAAGAACAGTTGTAGAACGTTTTAGATGGGACCAGTCGAATCAAACGATTACAAAACAAACAGGAAAAGTGTCTTTGTGTGCAAATCCAACCAGCGTCTGTCTGTCTGTCGTCTGTCTGTCTGTCGTCTGTTCTCCTCCCTCACGAGTCCCTGCTGTTTTATACCTTCTCTCATCAAACTGTTTGTTCTTTCCATCCTTCATCCTGTCCTCCCATCCTTTTCCCATCAGCACTGGAAGGCAGAGGTAGGTGCTGTCAGTGAGCAGAGTGCTGAGTGGACAAACATTCATGTCTGCCTGCATGTCTGTGTACACATTTCTACCCTCTCTCCCTCCCATACGTTATCTGAGCTCCTGAGCTTCTAACCCCTGACCCTTGATTTCCTCCTTCATTTTAACACTCGGCCTCCTTTCTAACTCCTGAACTCCTGTAAGAGCCTTTTCTGCAGTGCAACTGTAACTCACTACAACAGCTAAAAGAAATAAGAAATACAGTTTATGAAGTCATAAGAGGCGTGCATGAAGTCAGCTGGACGTGTTATCAATATATACGTTTATACTGATAATAGTTCTGATATCCTTCCTTTTCGTTATGACGTAATATTTTGATGATCAACTTTATTGCTGTGATTAGGGGGACACGGCAACATCACCACATCCAAGAGGATGATGGGAAATAAGCGACCAAAGAACCCCAGGATTTACTTAACGTGTTTGGAAGAGAAAATGAAGGCAAACATAAACATATTTACCCAAAAAATCTCTTCGATTTTGCTTTACTGAACTTCAGGGTTGAACTTTGACCTTCTGTACATGGCTTTACTCTGCAATGAGGGATTTTAACCAACATTTTAGTACTCACTGTGGTTTTCACCTGAATCACAGCCAAAATTATGAAAATACAAACTTTAAAGAACCCCAAATGTGGACGCAGTTGCCACTGCAGGAGGCAGACAGTTGTTGTTGCTGTGCCCCATCATGTCCTGTAAAGGAATGGTTTTAAAGTGGGGTTGTATGAGGTACTCATCCACAGCAGATCTGTTTCTCCAAACTGGGGGCGTGCTGACTGTCATCCACTATACACAATACACTGACTATGGATAAGAACCTCATACAACCCCACTTTAAAACATCCAAACTTTCCTTTTAAGTTGCTCTTTTCATTTTTACATAACATTACGGGATTCAGTCACAGGTATCTGTGCCTAGTCCAATCCCTGTCCACTGTCTGTGTTGAGGTGGTCCAGTGCTGTTTGTATCATGTGTGAACGTTAAGCTGTGGCTCTCCACTGATGCTGACTCAAATGTATGGATCAATATTCTATCACCAACATTTGCCTCCTTGTCTTCTCTCCACAGACCCAGAGACACATCACTGACCTGTACGAGGACCTCAGAGATGGACACAACCTCATCTCCCTGCTGGAGGTGCTCTCCGGAGAGACACTGGTGAGCTTCGGTGACCTTTAACCCCTTAGCTATTCGGACATCTGCTTCTGCGTAACCCCCTGTCCTGTCCAAACCTGTCTCCTTGTCCCACTGACTTATTCTGCTGCCGTATTTGTTCTCCTGTCCAGTCAGCTGTAACGTGAACTGCTTTCTATGTTTTTCTGAGCATGTGTTGACTTTGATTCTGTGGAGGTTTTTGGACATTTCAGAACATGCTGCGGTTATGCGCACTCTTTTTTTACTTTCCTTACCGTAGCTGTTTTCTTGGGAAAACACCTTCCGGTGATGTCGCCTTTAAGACACTAATTTTCATTCTTTGCTTCCATCTCGTAACCTTTCTGCGCTGACTTGTTTGACCCCTGATTTATTTTCCTTTTTCTAATTCCTGCTGACCTTTGCCCTGACCTCTTCCCCTGTGCCTCCGCCTTCCTCTCTTGCGATGCTCTTGCTGCGGTAGCCGAGGGAACGCGACGTTGTGAGGAACGTGCGGTTGGTGAGTGGCGCCAGGACTGCGGGCGTCGGGCGTGGCATGCGTCACCACCCCAGGTGGCTGCTGGGTTGTGCATGATGACAGTCGCACTCCCTGTATTGTTCCCCTTTTCTGTGCCCACATCGTCGTCCTCCATTTTATCAGTGAGCTAGCCGAGGTCAGGAGTCTGTGAGGAGATAGCAAGTGCTAGCAGAGGTTTTAGTGGACTCATTTCTACAGGCATTGCTTATTTAAAAGTAGTTATCTTTCGTATGTGGAGTCGAGTAATCAGGTCTTTCAACTTTAAGTTTTCACTCAAATTTCAATTGGAACCTTAAAAAAACATACTTAAAGGACCCTACCGTACATCCTAGAAAGAACAAGACAATATTCACATGATCCTTTTCATGATTTGTTTTCTTGGTTTCTTGAATGGTTCATGAATCCAAAGCTTTTCATCACTGGGGTACACCTGAAGGCACCAACCAAGACATTCTTAACACAATCGTTCCTGCGTGCACACCTGCATCACCAGGACAGGATGATAAAACAAATAATTAAGAAATGAAGCACAATCAGTGATCTCTGTTATTATCTCAGACATGTCTTTGCTAAATATCAAACTGGCCTTTTTTGGACTTAAACATACAGACCATCGCTGGCATGCTCCAATAGTTTTGGGGTCCTTCACTGCATTGAAAGCAACGGCACAAATTCCATCACATGCGAGCTGATATGTTGACTAATTCTGCACAAAGCTTCTTACCGCCTTAAGACGCGGAGCACCAATGCATGCCGTGGCCGACGCTGCTGGGTAACTCTGTCCCGTGCAGGTTTAGAAATCAGAGATCCTGCTCGACTGGACTGCGCCACAGTTCAAATCAAAGACCGACATAAGATGTAGAAGGTGTTTCAGAACAACGGTGCAGAGGAAAGTTGATTGCAGGTCGAATAGAAAATGAGGATTGAGAAGGATGATCGGGGGAATCACTCAGATCGTGTGTCATTCATCAACATGCTCTCACCTGCAGACATGCTGGCTGGTCTGTTCCAATGCATTTCTGGTGTCATTTAGGGTCAGATCTGACCAAACGCTTTGATCACAATCACGCAGAATTTGAAATCGCTCTTCAAATTTGCTGTATTTGAATTTTAAGTTCAGACCGTGACTGTGATGATTTATTTTATCCAGTAGAGTAGATTGTTTGTTTTAAGCACAAACAGTGTTGCTGGACACCGACACACCTGTTCCTCAGTCACGGGGCCTTGATTTGTTTGATTTGGTTTGTCGATCGTTCAACACTCTTTAATGAGTTCTCTTCCGCTCTTGCAGCCGCGGGAGAAAGGCCGAATGCGCTTCCACAAGCTGCAGAATGTACAGATCGCCCTGGACTTTCTCAAACGCAGACAGGTCAGTAGACCGGGACATTTTTAATAATGCACATTTTCATAAAACGAGCATTTGAATGTTTCTGTTTTCCTCCTTGTTGAGTTCTGTTTCTCTGTTTCAATTTTCCGTGGTAAATTAAAAACGGCACCTTTTCAGGTCAAACTGGTCAACATCAGGAATGACGACATTGCAGATGGAAACCCCAAGCTGACCCTGGGGCTGATCTGGACCATCATCCTTCACTTCCAGGTATGTAGGACACCGTAGGTGTGTAACGGTACACAGAAGTCACGGTTTAGGAGTCAGCGGGGAAAAGAAACACAAATGCACAAGGATCCATTTCTTTTCATTTATTTCAAGCTGACAGTGGTGCAGGTTTCAAAGACGGACGGAAAATTCAAAGCAAACACTGAACAAATACTTTCATCATCTGCACCAGTCTTCAATAGACTATAAAACTTAAAAGCATCTCTTCTGGACTGACTCGTACGCCAGTCCCCTGGTTGTGCTAACCTCAGCATATGCTACCAACAGGGTTCAGCTAAAAGTTTCCAGACAGAATTTGGGCATGTGAACTTTGGTTCCGCACTAATTGCATCAATCAAATTACAGTGACGCTTACGGTGACGGTTCAGCCCTAATTTACTGTCATTACGACAGTGAAGTTAAATTAGGAGATTTGAGAGAAGCTTTTGGACACAAAAAGTCAGTTGTTATTTAAATTGCATTTTGCATGTATTCAAAGTAGACTGACTGAGCCTTGTTGGGAACATTTTACTCACATTCCCTGAACTGCATGTGTTGTTTCTCTTTTAAACTGAACATTAATTGCGTCAGATCAAATTATTGCATTGCATGAGTACCAATGTGTTTCATAGTTTACTTTCATTCCATTGTGATTAGTTTGCTTCTGCGGCTCGGAGGTTCAATGACCAGCCTTGATTTCTCCTGATGTTGACACAGCAGTTACAGTACGGCACGGAGTCCAACAGCCAATCGTTTCCAAATGGGCTTCATTGAACATTTGGCAGCACTTAGGCTTTTATATACAACCACTACTGCTTCTCCTGTCCTTGAGTACACCCAGTCTAAACATTGAAAAAAAAGCTATTCATTCATTTTTAATTAAAGAAGGATGTTGCTCAGGTACATTTCAGAGCCTTTTATTCATTTTTTTTACTCCTATCTATGGTGCTGTGCAGATCTGTATGTTACCATTAAATCTAAATGTTTCATTCAAACATTAACAGTATGAAATAGCTTATAACACCTATAGCAGCAAAGGCCACATTGGAGTAAAGAATGCAGATGTGTTTGGATATTCATTTAGCAGATGGTTTGGTAGATTTTGGGGGGAAACAGTGGGAGTACATGGAGATTCTTTGATAGGTATGATGGTTATGTTGGGATGTGGGATCCTTTTCCCCGTCCCGTGTGACTCAGCGATTCCCATGAGAAAGCTGGAAGGAGACGTGGGTGTGACTCAAAAGCTGCAGTGGAAACGAGAGGTTTGCCTATGTTATAAAAGTGACATTTTCTCTGATATCTAACTGAACATAAGTAAGAAAAACAAAATGTCCATGTAGATGCACTTAGTCATCAGGCAGCTATTATTTCTTTAAAAACAAACCCATAACCTCTTTGTTTTGGTCATCACAAACAATGGTGTATTCCTCCTGAGCTCCCCAGGTGCAGATCCCATTTTAGTAATACACCGGTGTGAGTAATGGACCGGTCTCGCGACAGAGGAAGCCGGTATTCTCTCCACACTTTTAAAAAAGAGGCTGCGAGGGCGGAGGTCCTGTTTCAGCTTCTGAGTCACGCTGTGCCCACGTCCACACTGTAGCACCGGGGTTTCCCTTCTGAAGGGAAAATAGCAGAAGGAAGAGATGCATTCTTTTTTTTCCCTCCTCCACCCTTTCCTGCAAAAAAAAAAGAGAAGAGCCTGTACGTGAAATTGCTAGTTCTGCTATGACTCATCGTCATACCTAAAAACACTGGAAATAGTATATTGTGGTAGTAAAACCTAATTTATTCCAGTAAGAGACTGTGACGTTCATCAGAACTGGAAGTGCAACCTCCACTTCACGCATAATGTGCAGAGAACATACGGCAGATTTACCTCGCTTTTGGATGCTTGTCTGGTCTTATATGTGTCAAAACAAATCACCAAGCAGTGACACAGAGACACCAAGTTGCAGACATTTCTTTTGAACTGAACGGAGTCGGTAAAGTTTTCTGCACCAAGACAACTCAAGTATCAAACATACAGAGTTCACTTTCAGACGTTTTCCTGTGATTGTTGCCACTTTTTACGACTTGTGCCTAGTTTTGTAGAGAGCCCCGCCCATCTGGCACGTCAAGCACACTAAAACAAACACCAAGGACTTTTAATAAGTACCGTTTGTGCATCTGATGATAAATGTCACCGGCAGACACTACTGGATGATGGATTCATGCAAAATAGACACATCGAGGCGACGGCTGCAAAACTTAAATAGAAAAAATTCATATCAAGTCCCTCAGTGACAACACAGCGCTGGGATTAACCTAAGAGGACATCTGGACTGATTCAACCTGCGCTTTATTTGAAGTCTTGTAGTCTTTCACACAAAGAAAAGACACATTGTTGAGTGATTATTTTCAGTAGTGTGTTCTTGTAGAGCTGAGAGATCTGCCTGTGGAGGTTCTGGTACACAGTCCAACATTCATTCACAGCAGCCAGAGGATTTATTGAGAATCTGTGTCTGGAACAGTTTAACTTTTTAAGATCAGTGACTTTTCACTCTTATGATTTCTGTTTTTGTGTTTCTCTCCAAAACAGTGAGTTCAATGTTTCTTTTGCACTCCAAGTAAAAGTGCTGGTTGTTATTTGAGGTTTCTTACGTGACTCATCTCAAGTCTGGAAGAAATCAGCAGGCAAACTGGAAAAAAAGTGATCCAGCCCTTCAACCAACATTTCAATCTCCTTCAATATAGAAATATCAAAGGAAAGAAAGTCTCTGCCAAGATGAAAAAAAGTCGTTTTGCTTTTATAAATATAACAGTATTGGTGGAAGCATTAGATGTAAGAATTAGGAAAAACTCTCGAAACACATTTGGAAGTTACCTTCGTCCAAAGTCACTTAAAATAAGTGCTTCAAACTCCAAAGTATCCAGAGCTAAACATCATCAGAGCTGTTGCAGAAGTGCAACTGGTTTTTCTTTTTAAAGAAATGAAATGGAAGTTTACTGTCTCTGACTAGTTGCACCGTGTCCTCCTTCAGATCTCAGACATTCAGGTGAACGGCCAGTCGGACGACATGACGGCCAAGGAGAAGCTGCTGCTCTGGTCCCAGAGGATGGTGGAGGGATACCAGGGCCTGCGCTGCGACAACTTCACCACAGGCTGGAGGGACGGCAAGCTCTTCAACGCCATCATACACAAACACAGGTGAGACACCGATCCTCAGTAGACGGAGGCTGCCAGGCTCGTGGGGTTCCAGTCAAACCTTGTACTATTAAAATGTCCGGTCTTTACCAAGTGTTGGATAGAAATGGTAAGCTAAGGGGAAAAGGGCAAGAAAGACGAAACTTAGAATTTAACATACATGCATACATAAACAGACATTGCCAGAAGGAGCTAAAATGTGATAATAGTGACACAAAAGGATTATCTTAGAAGGGATGCCATGGCAACCTGTTGCCCTGAAGCATTTCTTTTTAAAACCATGCAGAAATATTTTCTGGTTAGAAGAGCTTGCCTGGACTTGGGATCTTGGGATCTTGTAACACCGTAGGACATGAAATTTCCACTTATTTCAAAAATCTTCTCTGTGACCGTTTTCATATTTCACTTGTACAGAGGCAGGAATGCCAAAATCCTCTTTGAGTTTTACAGCAGCACACCTGACTTGTCGGGACAAAATGTGGCTCGGCTACTGTAAATCAAACAGTCAAGATAAATACCAGATGGCTTCTGACCTGAACTCTCTCTGGCAACTCTGAATAAACTATTGCATTAGAATTGCAGTACCAGTCGTAATTTTAGTTTGAAGTTTAAAAAGCTTTTACAGATGAATTAATACTTTTTCCTGCTGTGAAAACTTGCTGACTACAGCTGCTGTCAACCTCAATAAAGAAACTACAAAATGTAGAAGCCTACAGCAGGCGATGGTGTTACACTCAAACCGTATATTTCGGGTGGAGCACCACTTTGTGCTTTCACAGACCAATGAGCGCTGCAGGAGGGCTTACCACACAACACAAAAATAACATTAACAACCTGAGTAAGCTTCCTTCGGTTTGAAAAGAGAGAGAGAGTTTTTTTCTTTTCCCGGTGTGGGTGTATCAATCTCATTTAAGAAAAAGATGCCCTGGAGGTATGCTCGCTGCAGCCTCGGCAGGTTGTAGCAAAACACAGGTACGCTGGCTGCTCCACCATAGATTCTTTCTTGGTGGAGGAAGAGCAGGACGTGCTCAGCGACGACCGGCTGCAACAGAAGTCTGACCAACAACTCACAATAAGAAGATACTTGGATATAATTAGGAATTACCAGTGGATTTGAGCCAGAATAAAATTAGTCGTGTTTTTTTCATAGTTTTGCTTTTTTTTTTTTTTGCTATATATACACAAAAATCTTGACCTCACTCACTTGGAAGTGCCGCGAAACTTGACCGTTGCTACAATGATGAAGCTAAAGAGGAAGTTTCACTCAAAGAGGCGTCTGAACAGTGCGTCCAGCAGCACAGCGGGCTCAGTCAGTGACCTGGAGGACCGGGTGGTCATGCTGTGTGAGGACATCCCCACCGAGAACTCTTTCGACTCGGGCCGAGGCTCCACCAGCCCCGGCGCTCGCTCCAGGCGAGTCTCTCAGAGCGAGGAGCACGAATCGGGATCGGAGCCTCACCTCCTCCACCTGAGCAGGGACAGGCTGTCCTCCAGACAGGCCTGCTACGTGGAGCAGGAACCCACCCGGGCACACAGAGAATACTACATCCAGAGAGTCGTGCAAGCGTATGCAAAATACTTTTTCCACTGAAGCTTAAATGTGCAGAATTTACTCCACAATCTGTGTCCTGCAAGCTATCTGTGTCTTTTTGCTGTTTGTAGGCTTGAGAGGCACTTTTATCTTTTATGCTCTGAACTTGTGGCGACATGTTAGACTGCAAGTTATCTTCCTGACAAAGTTCACTCAAAGGCTGTCCTCTTTGTGCATAAATTGATGGGGGAATTTGAAGCATCTCTGGCAGTGAGGACTCATGTTTTTGCTTGCCTTCCCTGGTATCAAGAAACACAAACTACTCATGATTAAACCTCCCTGCAGCAACATCAAATATGAAATGTCAATATTTTTTTTACCTGACAGCCTTCAGCATAGAATTATGGCTGTCAGGTGAGACAATTAAAGAGAAATGTTAAAAGGTGATTAATGAGTATCTTTCTCTCTGAGATCTTCAACCGTCACACATGATGTCAGGTTATTAAGTCTTTATTGACATTTATAACAGCGTAACCACCAATTTTCACTCCCGGTTCTCTCTGGCTGCATGCTGTCTGCAGGCCCACTCTGATCGACATGAGTCAAGTGTACCGACAGAGCAACCAGCAGAATCTGGAGCAGGCCTTCAGTGTGGCAGAGAGAGACCTGGGCGTCACCCGACTGCTGGACCCTGAGGGTGAGAGAATCCTGAAAGCTGTACTCGGGGAATATCTGAGCTTGTTTGCATGTCTTGTCTTCAGCTTCGCACTATTCAAAGTATATTTAAAAAAAAAATAAAAAATGCTTTTTTTTTACCTCTATCCACAGATGTGGATGTGCCCCATCCAGATGAGAAATCCATCATCACATACGTCTCCTCTATGTACGACGCCATGCCTAGGGTACCAGACGTTCAGCACAGTGTCAAAGCCAATGTGAGTCCCCTCTTCCTCATCACCAGATCATCTCTCAGAGCACTATGAAGACATTTTCCAGCAGAGACAAGAAGTAGTATTTTAACGTATTTCTATCAGCATCATCACCATGAAACCTTAAAGCAGGATCGACGTTAGAAGAAAAGTAAAGTAAAGCTGTGTCTGGTATAAAGCAGTGTCACGACATCAGCAACTTTAGAAGACGTGTGTAATAGGAGAGCCTTGGGAGCTGAGTGGATGCAGCACACGCCATATAACTGCAACATCTTGGGTTCAAAGCCGTGGGACCGTTGTTGCATGTTACACACTCCTCTTTCACCCTAATTTCTACTCCGTCAAATCAAAGCAGAAATGCCTCAAAAAATGAATAATGACTAATAAATAAATCGGTTAACTCGAACCTCTTTCTGTATCTGTGCTTCAGGAGCTGGAGCTCCGTTGGCAGGAGTATTATGAGCTGGTCACCATGCTGCTGCAGTGGATCAGACACCACATCCTCATCTTTGAGGAGAGGAAGTTCCCCACCAGCTATGAGGAGGTTGAGGTGAGATCATCTGGGCCTTAAGTCTTAAAGGGTTTCGACTAACATGACAGCAGAATAACCAACGGTGACGATACATTTATTTACCCCTTTTCTGATCTGCAGGTTCTGTGGCGTCAGTTCCTGAAGTATAAGGAAACCGAGCTTCCTGCTAAAGAGGCAGACAAGAACCGCTCCAAACACATCTTCAAGTCTTTTGAGGTGAGGTTCCTCAGCAACGTTTGAGAGAATCCTAACATTTAGCTTCAGTTTACTTTTAGTTTTTATTGTTTTAGAGCTGAATTAATCAATTACTCGATGAGTCCTTTGACAGAAAATGAATCTGCAACTGTTCTGATAATTGTTTCATAGTTGCAGTCACTGTTTAGTGACTAGTGACTAGTTACAGCTACTAAAATGTGACAGTTTTTTTGCCAACGGTTGGACAGAACAACACATTTGAATATGTTAACTTATGTTTTGTGATTTATTTTTTTTTTGGTGACATTTTAACACCATTAATCGAGAAATAATCGGGATGACTTAATAATGAAAATAAAGGTGAGTTGCAGCCCTAATGTGCTTCTTATTGCGCAGGGTGCCGTTCAGGCAGGACACGTGAAAGTGCCGCCAGGTTACCATCCCTTTGATGTGGAGAAGGAATGGGGTCGTCTGCACATCGCCATACTGGAGAGAGAGCGTCTCCTCAGGACCGAATTTGAGAGGTGAGTAGACCACGATCTAGACCTCATCATCACATGCTCTGCTGCCAAAGCAAACTGCACATTTAAAAACGCAAAATATTCAGAAATAAAGATCAGAAATGATTCACCAGCTGGTTACTGTGTGACCACGACGATGACTCATCTCCCAATGATAACGTCCACTTAGGCAATACAAGGGAACTGAGTTGGCTTTGTGGGATGGGAAGTAAAAATGGTATTTGGGCAAACACATGACAACTGTGCCTTCGCCATGGCAACAATCTGGTCATAAACTTGCCTTTAATCACAAGGTTATCGGGGCGTTGCCTTTGCTTTTGGTTCTCCCACGACTGGAGAAAGTGCTGTGGAGAGTTTTAAAAAACACCAGCTCTACTTTAGTGGACACACAGGGCTCTAAAATGGCTTTCATGCATCAGGGATACGAGTCAAAGTATTTGTTCCGCCGGAAGATGGAGTGAGTGCTTTTCTTTTCAGTAGTCTGACTTTAATTTGTCAACAGATAATCTGTTAATCACATCAGACAAAAAGCTAGAAAGTACCATGGAGGCTAATTTGACTGTCAGTTATTCTACCTTATTTAAAGTGTTTTCTGACCTTCGACCTCCCCCCTCTCCCTCTGCAGGCTGGAGCGACTTCAGAGGGTCGTCAGTAAGGTCCAGATGGAGTCGGGGGTGTGTGAGGAGCAGCTCAACCAGGTGGAGACTCTGCTGCAGACGGTGAGACACAAGCATGTAGGACGCACCACACCCAGAGTCATGAGAGCCACATGTAACGCTGTTTGTCTCCGTGCTGCAGGACGTGAGGCTGCTGAGCTCAGGGAGACCTGCTCAGCACGCAGCAGAGATGGACGCAGACCTGGACAAAGCAGAAGGAATGATCCGCTTCCTCTTCAATGATGTTCAGCTGCTCAAAGACGGGCGCCACCTTCAGGCTGAACAGATGTATCGCAGGTGCAAAAATCAAACTTTGCAACATTTAAAATGACCAACCTTTGACATAAGGGCTGCAATTGATGAGTATTCTCATCATCAATTGATCTGCTAATCTCTTTTTTTAACTACTCAATAGAGTGTTGCAGGAATAGGAAATGAGTTTGTTTTTCACACTTCCAGTTCCCTTTTTTTTAATGATCTTTTGTTTAGAAGCCTGAAATAAGGTCTGTGGTTAACACACGCCAAAGATCTTTTGTTCTACATTATAAAATACATCAACTATGCTGTCATTTATAGCCTGACGTTCATTTTCTATTTAGTCTATAGTCTAGAACACGAAGATAATAATTAACAAATATCTCCCTCAAAGTCGAGAAGCTGGATTCAGTGAATATTTGGTATTTTTTCTTGATGACTTAAACAATGAACTGATTATAAAATAATGTAGATTTATTTTTCTCCTGATTGACTAATCAATGAATTAATTGACATTCTGTATTGCTCTTCCGGCTCTAGAGTGTATCGTCTCCATGAGAGGCTGGTGAACCTCCGCAGCGAGTACAACCTGCGCCTCAAGTCCGGTGTGACCACCACACAGATCCCCATGACTCAGATCCACACCGCACAGGTCACCACCCTGCAGCAGGCCCCCATGAGGGTGCGCCCTGAGCTGGATGAGGTCACCATGCGTTACATCCTAGATCTGCTGGGCTGGGTGGAGGACAACCAACGGCGGGTGGATGATGGCGAGTGGGGCACCGACCTGCCCACCGTGGAGTCCCAGCTGGGCAGCCACCGTGGCCTGCACCAGTCTGTGGAGGAGTTCCGCTCCAAGATCGAGAGGGCAAAGGCGGATGAGGTACAGACTTCTGAGCTGACATGAGCAGAGATACATTTGATCTGGGAAGGAAAATTGAGTTATTGGGTGTAGCATAGTAGCCGTAGTAGATCAAGCTGGTAGCATTGATGATTTGTAAAAACCTCCTTCCCTTAACTGTCTTTCTTTAGTGGTTTGCATAATATAAAGTCATGTTACTGCCATTGTGAAGAAGACTCCGATTTCGATTTTAATATTCAATATTAGAAAAAATGTGATCTCTTCAGAATCGCCAAAAGTATTTTTCTTTCGAATTGTTTCCCATTATATCTTGACTGACCTGTTTTGAATGTTTCTTATTGCCTCTTCCTGCTCCAGAGTCAGATCTCACCTGCCAGTAAAGCTGCCTATCGCGAGTATCTGGGAAAACTGGAGCTGCAGTACAGCAAGCTCCTGGTAAGCTACGACACATACATGAGAAGAGATCCTGAGTAAAGAGATTCATTTCTTTAACTTAAGCAAGACAAGGCTGTTCCAAAGCTGAACTCATGGAGGTTCAGTAAAGTCAACACAGCATGAAACTTCACCATGATGTCACTTTTTAGCGCTCTGTTCCCATCCAGTTTCTTCAGAATCCGTCCCTCAACAGGCACCATAATGTATTTGTCATACGCTCCCTTACAGAACGCCTCTAAGGCTCGTCTGCAGTACCTGGACCAGCTCCACGCCTTCGTCATTGCAGCCACCAAAGAGCTGATGTGGCTGAACGACAAAGAGGAGGAGGAGGTCAACTACGACTGGAGCGAACGAAACACCAACATGACAGCCAAGAAGGACAACTACTCGGTAGAGTGACGATGCAATGCAGTGTTCTGACAAAGTTTACCGGCAGTGCTTTTATAGTGACGATGATGAATGTGATGTGATTCTGATGGTTGTCGCTTCCGAGCAGGGTTTGATGAGAGATCTGGAGCTCAGGGAGAAGAAGATGAGCGATGTCCAGGTCACCGGAGACAAGCTGCTGAGGGACGGTCACCCTGCCAGGAAGACTGTAGAGGTAAGATGATTTAGGACGGAGAAGGACTCACTTGACTACTAAACACCATCTCAAATTGTAGACGTTTTAATTAAAGCCTTTGACTGTATTAGTTTACCCTCCTCATCAAAACACCTGTTCTCCCCCACTACCCTCCCTGCTCAGGCCTTCACTGCAGCTATGCAGACTCAGTGGAGTTGGATCCTCCAGCTGTGCTGCTGCGTCGAAACCCACCTGAAAGAAAACACCACCTACTACCAGGTATGTTTACTAACTTACATCACAAGACCCCAGTTCAAGGGACGGTTCACCCCCAAAAATACATATTTATCCTCTTATCTGTAGTGCTGTTTATCAATCCAGACAGTTTTGGTGAGAGTGGTGGAGATGTCTGCCTTCTTTCCAGTAGAATGGAACAAGATGGCACTGGGCTTGTGGCGCTCAAAGCGCCAAAACAAATACAAAACTCAACAGCAATGTGTTTTTTACATCGGCTGATATCTTCAATACTCGGCAACTCACACTAAAATCTAGATTGATAAATAGCACTTGTGGTGGAAAAACTGTCCCTTTGATGTTTATCTATAAAGAGTTAACTTACTCAAAGCAGGATGAGTATTCTTCATTGCTCACTTGTCCATCCGTACACGTGTCGCCCTTTTGTTTGACCCCCTGTTGCTGCCTGGGTATTCAGGGCGACTTCTCAAAGCTGCATCTTAACTTCTTCCACTTTGGTCCTCGTCTAGTTTTTCTCTGACGTGAAGGAGGCGGAGGACAAGATCAAAAAGATGCAGGACGCAATGAAGAGGAGGTACACCTGCGACCGCTCCGTCACAGTCACACGGCTGGAAGATCTACTGCAGGACGCAGCTGTGGGTTCCTTCACCATTATGTTGTTTACTTACCAAACGCATCAAGACACTGTTATCGCACCTTGGCTCTGTAGTGAAAAGAGAATGCTTAACGATAATAACTGTGCATGGGACACCATCAAACATCAATTTATTAAATCTTCACAGGATGAAAGAGAGCAACTGACTGAATTCAAAACTCACCTGGAAGGCCTGAAGCGAAGGGCCAAGACCATCGTCCAGCTGAAACCACGAAACCCCGCTACCGCAATCAAGGGCAAACAGCCCGTCCAGGCCGTCTGCGACTTCAAGCAGATGGAGGTAGGCCTCTTAACTGCACGGAGTTATTATTTTTAACTAATTCATTCTGTTTAATATTTTTGGATATAACCAGAATTGATTCAATTATTTAATATTGTTAAATATACTTATAGTTGCTAAATTCAGAATGGAATATGAAGGAGTTCAAAAGCTGCGTCCAATTTAAAGGAATATCAAGTAGTAGATTGAGTCAGTCAGACATGAGCATCTTTGTTTACCTTCTCCCAGATCACAGTCCACAGAGGAGACGAGTGCGCTCTGCTGAACAACTCGCAGCCTTTCAAGTGGAGGGTGCTGAACGACAAAGGCAGCGAGTCGTCCGTGCCGTCCATCTGCTTCCTGGTTCCACCCACTAATAAGGAGGCTGTGAACAGTGTTGCCGGGTGAGATGAGAGTCGCCGTCTGAGATCACTTCAACTCTAAATTCACATGTACACAGTGTGGCGTTAAGTGCTGATCTCCATTAACCCTCCTCAGACTGGACGGAAACCTCCAGCGGCTGCAGACGATGTGGCAGACGATGTTTGTGGACATGAAGAGCATGCTGTCCTGGCAGTACCTGATGAGAGACATCAACATCATCAAGACCTGGAACGTCACCATGGTAAGAACACCGGGCATACTGCACTACCAGTGACTTTAAGTTGTTATAAAATCCATGAAGCACAGTGACAATGAATGTAACTGGTTACCAAAGACAGGAGGGAGAGATATATTTACTTTAATATATTCAGCATCTACATCGTCATTAAACTTGACGAATTGCAGAAGAGTATTTTAACTTCTGCTAACCATGATATTGTTTGAGCCAGTATACCTGCTCATTTTTAGTTGCTGCTTTTATATCTGCTATACATTAATATGTGGAAACGGATGAGTTCCCCCTCAGTTACTCTGAAGCCCAGAGAGGTCAGTGAGAAAGTCAAATTCTGGGGATCCATGTCTGATCTTAATTGTTGTCTCTCCGGTGTTCACGACTTAAGAAATGGTGAAAAAAACCTTTTGAATTTTTGATCATTTTGGCCACAAGAGGCAGAAGTACACCACTGCCAAATGTTCTAAAAGCATTCATGTTTTCTTCATGGTGAGTTTTAATGTACATAACTTGCTAACACACAATATGTGGACCTTGTGTTTAGACTGCATGGAGAGATTGAAACTCTCTGGAAGAAAACATGAATGTCAAAACCTTATTTTTCACCTCAAAAAAGGAAACTTGGATAAATGCATTAGTTTCGAATATTATTTCTGCCAAAAAATCCAACACACTGTTCCTTCAAGTCACAAACACATGAGAGAAAACTACTTACATAAGACTTAGATCAGCAGGGTTTTGTCTTTCTGTCTTTCCTCTCAGGGCTTCAGTAAACTTAAATTCAGATGAAGGGGCCAGGGTTATTGTTTCACCTCTATTGAAACAAGTATTCATTATATCTAGGTTCATACTTACCATGCAAACACAAATCTGACTTCAAATGAACTTGGTTTATCTGGTTCAGCCTCTCCTCACACTACTGAGGGTAAAAAAAAACTTTCCTTAAGACATACTTAGTGTACATTCTACTTGTTATTATACTGCCGATCATTTATTTAAATAAAGGAACAACATTTAATACCTCCCTCCTTTATCTGCACCCTTGCAGTTTAAGACCCTGAGGGTGGAGGAGTACCGTCTAGCACTGAGGAACCTGGAGCTGCACTACCAGGACTTCCTGAGAGACAGCCAGGACTCCCAGACGTTCGGGGCGGAGGACCGCATGCAGGTCGAGTCCAACTACAACAGAGCCAACCAGCACTACAACACAATGGTCAGCTCTGCAGAGCAAGGTGTGTGCTGTTTAGTATTTCATGAACCACCGCGGGTTCTCCTGTCAGCCCAACATGGTCTTTCATTGGTTACGAGACACACTTATTCCGTTTTTAGTGGGTTTCTCATCGAATCATTTCTCAGACATTTGTGTTGAAATTCAGCCATGGTCATTTGAGTGTAAGTTGACTGTTGGATTCACATTACAGGCTATGTGCCACCCAGAGCAGGTAAGGTGCTTCAGTTACAGTGTGCAGTAGTAGCTTCTGATTGGCTGAACAGGAGTGCGTGCGTGCGTGCGTGCGTGCGTGTCATGTTTCATCCCATCCATTAACTCAATCAGCTTCAAGTTCCTCACTGGGACCCCTCCTAACTTCACTCATCGTTGCATTCTTGTCTCTGCATGGGTTTAACAGCAGCTGATTGTCAATCTTTACCACTGAATGATTAAATCAATTGACTGATCAATTAACCACTATGACGAATAATCAACGTGAAACCAATCAAGCATGAAGAAGTACATTTACTGTGCACAATGTGGCATTAATACTTTCGCAAATCATAGACAATATTTGTAATGTAATACACACAATCACACTTGGAGTAACAACGGGCTTATTTTATCCAGAGTTTGTGTTCTTATAATCACTACTTTTTTTTTTTTTTTTCAATCCAACCAGGAGAGCAAGACGAGTCTGTGTGTAAGACGTACCTGATGAATATCAAAGACATCCGTCTGAGGCTGGAGGGTTGTGAGAACCGAACAATGACGCGTCTCCGCCAGCCTGTGGACAGGGAGCCGCTCAAAGCCTGCGCCTTGAAGACTGCAGAGCAAATGGTACGAATGGACATCAGTGCAAAATAACTGAGATTTACAACATCAACACAAAGTCAGGAAGGAAAGATAGTAACCTAAATCAAACAGTATTCCTGGAGTGTTTGTAAGCTCAGCAGTGCGTCATAAACTTAGTTATGATGGGCTTAAAAACTCATTAGGTATCCTGCTACATATCCCATTAACCGTTTGATTTTACTGCCAAAATAATGGTAACATATTTATATTATTGGCTATAATATTAGTTCTCTTAACCACCTCCATTTTTTCAATGACAGAAAGTCCAGTCTGAGTTGGAGGGCTTAAAGAAAGACTTGAACTCCATCAGTGAGAAGACCGAGGAGGTCCTGGTGTCTCCTCAGCAGACCAGCTCGGCCCCGATGCTGCGCTCCGACCTGGACGTCACGCTGAGGAAGATGGACCACGTCTACGGCCTCTCCTCCGTCTACCTGGACAAGTGAGGCTTTTGTGACTCTCTGAGCGCTTCGCGGTGAATTTCCATCTGGTATTGTGCTTTTTTTATAAGTGCAAACCTCTTTGATTTCAGGCTGAAGACCATTGATGTCGTGATCAGAAACACTAAAGACGCAGAAGACACACTGAAGAGTTATGAGACTCGTCTGCGTGATGTTAGCAAAGTGCCAGCCAAAGAGAAGGAGGTGGAGGACCAGCGCAGTCAGCTGAAGGTATTTCCTCTTTTTTTGAGGATCAATGTACATATTTTATTCTATACTATGATTGAACTCTAAGTTATACGAGGATTGTTCCCAAACTGGACTGCATTGCGTTCAAATGTGATGAATTTGCTCTTTTCGTCTGACAGGCAATGCACGCTGAAGCAGAGGCCGACCAGGTTGTTTTCGACCGCCTGCAGGACGAGTTGAAGAAGGCGACGGTTGTCAACGACAAGATGACGAGGATCCACAGCGAGCGCGACGCCGAGCTGGAGCATTACCGTCAGCTGGTCAACGGCCTGCTGGATCGCTGGCAGGCCGTGTTTGCTCAGATGGACCTGAGGAGGCGGGAGCTCGACCTCCTCGGGCGCCACATGAACTCCTACAACGGAAGCTACGAGTGGCTCATCCACTGGCTCGGAGAAGCGAGGCAGAGGCAGGAGAAGATTCAAGCTGTGCCCATCGGTGACAGCAAGGCTCTCAAGGAGCAACTGGCAGAGGAGAAGGTATTATAAAAGAAAGGAATGAGTTGTGAGGGGTGAAGGGACGTTAGGTCATGATGCCCTCTGGTGGTCACACATAGCACAGATTTAGTTAGAGTGCACTTCACTGATTTAATAACTTACTGGCTGTTATAGTCATGATATTAAGAGTAGTAGATATGGCTTTGTGTTGATAAACAATGTTTTTTAAAATGTTTTTATTTTTACTGACAGAAACTCCTGGAAGAGATTGAGAAAAACAAAGAAAAGGTTGAAAATTGCCAGAAAAATGCAAAGGCTTACATTGATTCAGTCAAGGTATGTGCCAATACTTTAAACGTTACTACTATTCTTTATTTTCGGGCTTGGTTTAAGATTATTTTCTTCTTTTTTTTAGGATTACGAGCTCCAGCTTTTGACTTACAAAGCCCTCCAGGAGCCCATAGCATCTCCTTTAAAGAAACCCAAAATGGAGTGTGCATCTGATGATATCATTCAAGAGGTAAGTTTATCAGAAGAGCAACGATGTGCTTACAGCCAGTTGGTTACCATGGTTGAGTATGAATCTCTATGAAAAGATGCTATGAAAATGTCTTTAAAGGGAGAGTTCAGATGTTTTGAAGTGAGGTTGTCTGAGGTACTCATCCATAGTCACTAGAGCAGTTTGTTGAAAGAGAAAAATGTATTTATGACTTCTAAAAGAGTGTAAAAGTCAGACAGACCTTTCAAACGGGGAACTGAAGCCGTAGTATCCATCTATGCTCTCTTCAAAGCCACCAGACTCCTGTGACGAAAACCCTCATTTTCCCTCACAGAACACAGGAGTTGCTGGTCTACCGCTGCCTCGATTCGATATTTTGGTATTTTTAAAATGTTGGTTCGGATTCAGCAGAGTCACACAAAACACAAGCAAACTAACCAATCGAGGTCGAGGTAGACCAGCCACTCGCGTGTTTTACGAGGTGGAGTGATTGTTTCCGGGCGGCTGTGGCTCAGTGGGTAGAACGGCGTGTCCATGAATCATAAGGCTGGCAGTTCTCTGGCTCCTACTGCCCGCATGGTGTCATTGAGTAAGACACTGCACCCAGACAATTGTAATAAAGTTTAAAGTTTTTGTGGCTTTGAGGAGAGCACAGATAAAGGCTTCGGTTCTCCGTTGGAAAGGGCTGTCTGACATCAAGGTACAGCTGAAGAAATGTACTAGATATATATAGAGGACACTTTTTGTCCCCATAGCTTTCTAAAATACATTTTGCTGCTGCCCCGTCATTAAGAACCTCAAACTATCCCGTTAACGCTTACACACATAATCCTGAGGACCAAGTAATATATTATAAAGAGTGTGAGAAATGTATAAATAAATCCACTGCATTTCTTTCAGTACGTTACTCTGAGAACCCGCTACAGTGAGCTGATGACCCTCACCAGCCAGTACATTAAGTTCATGACGGAGACGCAGCGCCGCCTGGAGCATGACGAGGTAATCACACACAGACTCTGGAGACATGCGGGAGCAGGTTTCTGTCAAAAACCCAAAGTCCTACTCACGTAAACAACGCCACCCCTTTTTCCTGTTAACCTGTTGATGTATGGGAAATCATTTGTCATTAATTCCTACCAAAAAATGTTGGCACTCAAAACTTGAACATGATTACTCCGTGTAGAATGACAGGACAGCGTTCAGTGGTGAAGCAAACGGTTTCATCCTGGTGTTTCAGCACATCACATCCCCACTACAGTACATGTCTCTCATTCCCCTACACTGTGTATTTAGTCAGATCGTGTCACACAGGCAGCACATATGGCTCTGATTTGGCTGCAGCCATCTGCCCTGATCTCACTTCCGTTTTGCAACTGCTTGATTTAGAATCCGCTTCTTTATTTCCTCTTGAAATCACCCACACTTGTGATTTGAAGGCTTCAATTTGGCTGCCTGCCTTCTCAGATGTATCATTTTTCAATCTACTTTACCTTTTACTTTCCCCCCGCCCTTTTCTAACTTTCTATTGTGTTTGATCCTTTTGACCTGCTTCGCCAGTGCTTTGTCATGATGAATATTAATCTCACCCTTAAGAGATGAATTAACCCCAAAGCACCAGGTATTTAAAAGAAAGAACTAAACACCTCACAGTTCATGTCATCCGTCTGTGTCGGACCCTTGTCTGTACTAAAGGGAAGGTTCAGGATTCTTTGGAGACCTTTCGTTATTGAGTTAAGTCTCAATTTCAAATCAATTGGCATCAGGTTTCACTTTGCGACATGTCAACTTTTAATGAAATTCACTAGATATATGTATTTCTACTATTTTAATATAATAACTGTCGTAAAAGCACTTTTTAAAGGACGTATTGGTAGTTTTATCAATACTGTTTAGGGCTGCAACTAATTATTTTCATTATTTATTTATTTTTTAATCGATTTCTTTTAGTGTATGAAATAAAAAATAGTGAAAACGTGCTACTTTCCAGCTTTCAGTTGAAAATAAGATCTTTAAATGATATACAACAAAGAAAGGCAACACATCCCCCCGATTATCAAAGTAGTTGCCAATTATTTTTCTGTCAGTTTCAGCTGTAAAACAGTTTTTGTTTTATTTTACTAACAAATATACCAGAAATAACTGTTAGAGATAAATATGACAGGTTTCTAAAGTGCTGGACCTTCCTTTTTAGAATGTCAATCATCTGTACAATTACACAACGCATCGCTCATGTTACTAAAGAGTAGAAGTTGTCTCTTGATGTTTGTTGTCAGAGTTTACATCAAATCATGCTGTGTTTGCTGCATCGTTCTGCTGTTCTTCATGGTGGGGGTATTCTGACTTGCTGTCTTTGGTATCTTCTGTTGCATGCTGCTAATTTATCTATTATTCCTTGCCTCTGTCCTCTCAATGAGTCTACACATTTTACGGAAAGCTGCTATGTATGAATGTAAAGATGGAGGAGTCTAACCCTAAATATCAAATTCAAAACAAAAACTTTTACTACATACAATATTTTATTTATAACAAACCCATAAAATATAACCAGACTGCATCACACATTATACAAAACATTGATCAATTAAAATACCTCAAGTGCATGAGAGCGACGTGTAGTGACTGTGATGTTGTGAAGTAAAGTGTCATTCTGTGTGCCACATATTAAATTAACTTGATAAGCATCTCCCTATACTGTATCTTCTCTCTAATGAAAAATAACTGTATCTGTTGTAGATAATTAACTGTAACATATTCTCATGTATTTACATTTTCATGTACCTACATGTTTTATTTCGTAGTCTAACACCTCTAACATTTTCTCAATTCCCTTTGCTTCTACTAAAACAGAAAGCTTCAGAGAAACTGAAAGAAGAGGAGAGGAGAAGGATGGCAGAGATACAAGCCGAGTTAGATAAACAGAAACAGTTGGCGGAGGCTCACGCTAAATCAGTAGCCAAAGCGGAACAAGAAGCCCAGGAGCTGAAGCTGAAGATGAAAGAAGAAGCCAGCAAGAGGCAAGATGTCGCGGTGGATGCTGAGAAACAGAAGCAAAACATACAGCATGAGCTGCATCATCTGAAGAGTCTGTCCGAGCAGGAGATCAAGTCCAAGAGCCACCAGCTGGAGGAGGCGCTAGTCAGTCGTACCAAAATCGAGGAGGAGATCCACATAATTAGACTGCAGTTAGAGACAACAATAACACAGAAAGGCACAGCCGAGGCCGAGTTACAGCAGCTCAGAGACAAGGCTGCCGACGCCGAGAAGCTCAGGAAAGCTGCTCAGGAAGAAGCAGAGAGGCTTCGCAAGCAAGTGACTGAAGAGACTCAGAAGAAGAAGAATGCAGAAGATGAGCTGAAACGGAAATCTGAGGCAGAAAAAGAGGCAGCCAAGCAAAAGCAGAAAGCACTGGAAGACCTGCAGAAATTCAAAATGCAAGCAGAGGAGGCAGAGAGGCGCATGAAACAGGCTGAGGAGGAGAAGCTGAGGCAGATCAAAGTAGTAGAGGAGGTGGCACAAAAGAGTGCCGCCACACAGCTGCAATCCCATTCCATGTCATTCAATGAGAAGACAACAAAGCTGGAGGCATCCCTTAAGAAAGAGCAGGGCACCGTCCTTCAGTTGCAGGAGGAAGCTGAAAAGCTCAGGAAGCAACAAGAGGAAGCTAACAAAGCTAGGGAGCAAGCAGAGAAAGAGCTTGAAATATGGAGACAAAAAGCTAATGAGGCTCTCCGCTTGAGGCTACAAGCTGAAGAGGAAGCTCAAAAGAAGAGTCAGACTCAAGAGGATGCAGAGAGGCAAAAGTTAGAGGCTGAGCGTGATGCCAAGAAAAGGGCTAAAGCTGAAGATGCTGCTCTTAAACAGAAGGAGAATGCAGAGAATGAGTTGGAAAAGCAGAGGAAATTTGCAGAACAAGTAGCCCAGCAAAAGCTGTCTGCAGAACAGGAATGCATACGACTGAAGGCCGACTTTGACCATGCTGAACAACAGAGGGGCCTGTTGGATAATGAGCTCAAGCGTCTGAAGAATGAGGTGACTGCTGCCGAAATCCAGAGGAAGCAACTGGAAGACGAGCTGGCCAAAGTCAGAAGCGAAATGGATGCTCTTCTGCAGATGAAGCTTCAAACTGAGAAGCAGACGATGTCGAACACAGAAAAGAGCAAGCAGCTTCTTGAGTCTGAAGCGTTGAAAATGAAACAACTTGCTGACGAAGCGACTAGAATGAGATCAGTCGCCGAAGAGGCAAAGAAGCAGAGGCAGACCGCGGAGGATGAGGCAGCGCGGCAGAGAGCTGAGGCCGAGAAAATACTTAAAGAAAAACTGGCCGCCATCAACGAGGCAACTCGTCTGAAAATCGAAGCCGAGATTGCCCTGAAAGCCAAAGAAGCAGAAAATGAAAGACTGAAAAGAAAAGCGGAGGACGAAGCTTATCAGAGAAAGCTGCTGGAGGATCAAGCTGCTCAGCATAAACAAGACATACAAGAGAAAATCACACACCTGAAGAGCTCGTCGGATTCGGAGTTGGTGAGACAAAAAACAATCGTGGAAGAAACTCTGAGACAAAAGAAGGTGGTGGAAGAGGAAATTCACATAATTAAAATCAATTTTGAGAAAGCTTCAAAGGGCAAGTCGGATTTAGAGGTGGAATTAAAGAAGCTGAAGGGTATTGCTGAGGAAACCCAGAAGAGCAAACGCAAAGCTGAGGCAGAGGCTGAGAAACTAAGAAAGCTTGCAGCTGAAGAAGAGAAGAAAAGAAAAGAATCTGAGGAGAAGGTGAAGAGGATTACTGCAGCAGAAGAAGAGGCAGCTCGACAATGCAAAGTCGCTCAGGAGGAAGTGGAACGTCTCAAAAAGAAAGCTGCTGAAGCAAATAAACAGAAAGACAAGGCGGAGAAAGATGCAGAGAAGCAGGTTATTCTGGCCAAAGAAGCAGCACAGAAATGCAGTTCAGCAGAGCAGAAAGCCCAAGATGTTCTCAGCAAGAATAAAGAAGACGGCCTCGCTCAGCAAAAGCTGAAAGATGAGTTTGAAAATGCGAAGAAGCTTGCACAAGCAGCGGAGAAGGCCAAAGAGAAAGCAGAGAAAGAGGCTGCCCTGCTCCAACAAAAAGCTGCAGAAGCTGAAAAGCAGAAAAAATCTGCAGAGGATGAAGCCGCAAAACAAGCCAAGGCTCAAAAAGACGCGGAGAGACTGCGGAAAGAAGCAGAGGAGGAGGCCTCCAAGCGAGCGGCAGCTGAGGCGGCAGCACTGAAGCAGAAGAAGCAGGCTGATGAAGAGATGGCCAAGCACAAGAAACAAGCCGAACAAGCACTCAAGCAGAAGTCACAGGTTGAGAAGGAACTAACAGTGGTCAAACTGCGGCTGGACGAGACTGATAAGCAGAAAGCTGTGTTGGATGAGGAGCTTCAGCGAGTTAAAGGTGAAGTAAATGATGCCGTCAAGCAAAAGGCACAGGTGGAGGAGGAACTGTCCAAAGTTAAGATCCAGATGGACGAGCTCCTGAAACTTAAGCTTAAGATTGAGGGAGAAAACCGCCGCCTCATGCAGAAAGACAAAGATAAAACACAGAAAGTACTCGCGGAGGAAGCAGGGAAAATGAAGAGCCTGGCGGAGGATGCTGCCAGACTCACTGTGGAAGCTGAGGAAGCAGCCAGGCAGAGACAGGCCGCTGAGTCTGACTTGGCGGAACAGAGGGCACTTGCAGAGAAAATGCTAAAGGAGAAGATGCAGGCCATCCAAGAGGCTACCAAACTTAAAGCCGAGGCAGAGGAGCTCCAGAAACAGAAGAACCAGGCACAGGAAAAGGCTAAAAAACTACAAGAGGACAAACAGCAGATCCAGCAGCGCCTTGATAAGGAGACAGGGGACTTCCAAAAATCATTAGAGGCTGAGCGAAAGAGGCAGCTTGAAGTTTCAGCTGAGGCGGAGAAACTGAAATTGAGGGTGAAAGAGCTCAGTGATGCTCAGTCAAAAGCTGAAAAGGAGGCTAAGAAATTCAAAAAACAAGCAGATGAAGCAAAGGTGCGTCTCCAGGAGACAGAAAAGCAAACTACAGAAACTGTCGTGCAGAAGTTGGAGACACAGAGGCTGCAGAGCACCAGAGAGGCTGGTGACTTGAAGGAAGCCATCGCTGGCCTTGAAAATGAGAAGGAGAAACTGAAAAAGGAGGCGGAGGAACTTCAGAAAAAATCTAAAGAGGTATGTTGACTGTAAAATCTATTTACACAACCCTTCCAATTAACACAGTCAACACTCTAACTACAGTATTTGTGGGATAACATGTAGCATTTCATGCAAATTGCTGAGACTTAAAGTAACAATCAGCAATTTATATGAATGCCATTCAAAACACAATACTGCAGAGTTGAAGTGGTCACTAGTAAAACATTGAAGGACTTTTTGTGAAATAGTCTTCACCTTCTTGCAGAAAGTTAGATTTTTTTAAAAAGGTGGAAAAAGCTGAAGAGGAGATGTTAGCTTAGTATAAAGACTTGAAACTGCTAGCTTGGCTCTGTTAAGTTCACTCTGGTCTTTGCATGTATGTTAATCAGCTTTAGAGCTGCTGGTCGGCAGATGTTACCTGTGGACAGAGCTAAATGTTTCCCTCCATGTTTAGTCTGTTTGCTAAGCTTCATACAGGGAATAGGGTCAGTCTCATCCAACTCTCGTCAAGAAAGCATATTTCCAAAACTATTAGTCTGAATAACAAGTTACATGCAATGAAATTTTACTGATTGTCTTCTACTTTTTTCCAAATAGACGGCAAATGCCCAACAAGAGCAAATTGAGCAAGAGAAGGCCATTCTTCAGCAGTCCTTCCTCACAGAGAAGCTACTGTTGTTGAAAAGAGAAAAGGCTGTTGAAGATGAGAAAAAGAAGCTTGAGAAACAGTTTGAGGATGAAGTCAACAAGGCTAAAGCTCTGAAAGATGAACAAGAACGTCAGCAGAAGCTAATGGAAGAGGAGAAGAAGAAACTCAAGGCCATTTTGGATGAAGCTGTAAAGAAGCAAAAGGCGGCTGAAGAAGAGATGAAAAACAAGCAGAAAGAAATGGAAGTGCTCGAAAAGAAGAGGCTTGAACAAGAAAAACTCCTGGGAGAGGAAAACAAGAAGCTCAGGGAGAAACTCCAGAGTCTTGAGGTGGCCTCCAAACAGGGTGCCTCCGAAACGAAGGACATGAAAGTCCAGACTGATGAGGTTCCTGAGGAGCAGTTAGTTGCCATGACAATGGTGGGAACGACAAAGAAAGTTTTCAATGGGTCTGTTGAAGCGGACGGAGCAAAGAAGGCTGCAGAATCACCGTTTGCGTTTGATGGAATTAGAGAGAAGGTTCCCGCTGAAAGGCTTCATGACATTGGTGTCCTGACCAAAAAGGAATTGGACAAATTGAAAAAGGGAAAAGTCTCGGTGCAAGAGCTCGGAAAGACTGATAAAGTTAAATCATGTCTTCAGGGTCAGAGCTGTGTAGGAGGTGTCTTGACTCCATCCAAAAAGAAAATGAGCATCTATCAGGCTATGACTGAAAACCAGATCACTCCCAACACTGCCACAATGCTCCTGGAAGCTCAAGCAGCTTCTGGTTACATCGTAGATCCAGTGAAAAATAAACTCCTCACTGTCGACGAGGCTGTTAAAGAAGAGTTAATTGGCCCCGAGCTTCATGACAGGATGCTCTCTGCAGAGCGAGCAGCCACTGGCTTCAAAGATCCCTATACCGGAGCCAAAATCTCTCTCTTTGAGGCCATGAAGAAGGGACTTATTGAAAATGAGCCAGCCACCAAATTCCTGGATGTACAGCTTGCAACCGGCGGCATCGTTGACCCCATCAATAGCCATAGAGTGCCACTTCAGACTGCCTACAAGCAGGGTCAGTTTGATGCAGACATGAACAAGAAACTCACTGATCCCAGTGATGATTGCAAGTTATTCATTGACCCCAGCACTCAGGAGCATCTCACTTACAAACAGTTGCTGGAGAAATGCACCAAGGATGCAGAGACAGGACTGCTGATATTACCGGTAAGCGAGAAAGCTGCTGAGAGTGAGGGAACATACACAGATCTGGAGACCAAAGACGTGTTCAGTACGTCAAACGTTGTTGTGCCTTTTGGAAGATTCAAGGGCAAAACCGTCACCATTTGGGAAGTCATAAATTCAGAGTACTTTACAGAACCGCAAAGAAGAGAATTGATTCGCCAGTACAGGACAGGAAAGATCACGGTAGAGAAAATTATCAAAATTGTCATCACTGTTGTGGAAGACAAGGAGAAGGATAAAGAAAACATGTTTAATGGTTTGAGGGCTCCAGTCTCTGCCAGTGAACTGTTGGAGTCTAAGATTATAAACAAAGACTTGTTCAACAAACTGAGTAATGGCAAGATAACGGTGAAGGAGATCTCCGAGATGGAGCCTGTGAAGAAGGCGCTACAAGGAACACCGAGCATTGCTGGACTACTGAATGAAGCAACCAAGGAGAAAATGCCTTTCTATCAAGCTATGAAGGAAGAATTACTGTCACCAGAAACTGTGTCAAACCTTCTTGAAGCTCAAGCAGCGACTGGGTGTGTAATCGACCCGGTCAAAAATGAGAAGTTCCCTGTTGATGAAGCGGTTAAGTCGGGACTTGTGGGCCCAGAACTCCATGAACGACTCCTGTCAGCAGAGAGAGCCATCAGCGGCTACAAAGACCCGTATACAGGAAAGAAGGTGTCTCTGTTTGAAGCCATGAACAAAGGCCTCATCAAGAAAGACCATGGCATCCGGCTGCTTGAGGCACAACTCTCAACAGGTGGAATCATTGACCCTGTTAACAGCTATCGCATCCCACATGAGGTGGCTTGTAAGCGTGGATATTTTGATGAGGAAATCGGCAAAACCTTGAACAAAAACACTGATGACACAAAGCTGTTTTATGATCCTAACTCACAAGAGCATTCAACGTATGCTCAGCTCATGGACAAATGTGTCCCAGACAAAGAAACTGGACTCCTGTTGCTTCCTCTTTCAAAGAAGGCTGCAAAGCCAAAAGAAGACAAACAGGTTACAGAGGCGAAGACAAAAGAGGCTTTGAACCATTCAACTATGGAGCTGGACTGTGGCCCTTTCAAAGGCAGAAAAGTCACAATTTGGGAGATCATACACTCTGAATACATCACTGAGGAGCGAAGAATAGAGCTGATTCGCCAGTACAGAATGGGGCAGGTGACAATTGAAAAGTTGATAAAGATTGTGATAACAATGGTTGATGAAAAAGAAGACAAAACAAAGGAAGAGGCCTGTTTTGAAGGCCTTAGAGCACCAGTCACTGCCAGCTCTTTGCTTGATTCCAACATCATTGACAAGGCGACATTTGACCAAATCCAACAGGGTAAAAAGACACCTAAAGAGGTTAGTGAAACTGATAAGGTACGGAAGTACTTGCAGGGCACAGACTGCATTGATGGCATCACTATGGGAGATTCAAATGAGAAGTTAAGCATATATCAAGCAATGAAGAAGAATGTTTTGCAGCAAAACACTGGGCTTGCGCTACTTGAGGCCCAAGCTGGAACTGGTTTCATAACTGATCCGGTCAGAAATCAGAAATACTCTGTGGATGATGCTGTGAAGAATGGAGTTGTTGGCCCAGAGCTTCATGAGAAACTTCTCTCAGCTGAAAAAGCAGTGACTGGATACAAAGATCCGTATACGGGCAATACAATTTCTCTATTCCAAGCCATGAAGAAAGAACTTGTTCTGAGGGAGCATGCTATTCCTCTCCTGGAGGCTCAGTTTACTACAGGAGGGCTCATCGATCCGGTCAGCAGCCATCGTGTTCCCAATGATGTGGCCATTCAGCGTGGCTTTTGCACTAAACAAATGTCCAAGTCCTTCAATGAACCCTCAGGCGATGTTAAAGGCTTCACCGATCCCAACACCAATGAAAGCGTTACTTACAAACAGTTGGTGGAGAAATGTGTAAGAGATGCCAACTCTGGTCTGTGCTACCTGCCTCTGTCAAAGGTTGAAGCTCCTGCTCCTGTTGAGAAATCCTATCAGTACACAGAGGAGCAAGCTGAAACAGATCTAGCCAACACTCAAATTGAGATCCCTCATAAGAGTTTTGCAGGAAAGACTATGACCATTTGGGAAATCATGAACTCAAATATGCTTCCTGTGGAGGAGAGACTGCGCCTCATGGAGCAGTATCGCTCGGGACAAATCACAAAGGACAGAATGCTAATCATCATCATTGAAATCATTGACCAAAGAGAGACTCTAAAGTCGGAGCAGAGCATGTCATGTGATGTAATCAGAAGAAGAATTACTATTGAAGAGTTATACAGTGCTCGAATTATTGACTTGCAGACATACAACCTCTTAAAACAAGAGAAGATGACTGTTCGGGAGGTCATGGAAATGCCATCAGTCAAACAGTACCTCTTTGGTACAGGTTGCATTGCTGGAATCATGTCAGACAATCCTCCAAAGATCAGCATTTACCAGGCTATGAAGAGTGGACAGATTAAACCTGAAGTTGCATTGAATCTCCTCGAGGCCCAAGCAGCGACAGGATTCATGATCGATCCAGTGAAAGATGAACTTCTGACAGTGGATGAAGCTGTACGCAAGGGGCTTGTGGGCCCTGAACTTCATGACAAACTTCTCTCTGCTGAAAGGGCAGTTACAGGTTACAAGGATCCGTACAGCGGGAAAGTGATTTCTCTCTTCCAGGCAATGAAAAAAGACCTTGTTCCTGAGGATTATGCCTTGAGGCTTTTGGAGGCCCAGAATGCCACCGGTGGATTAATTGATCCTGAATACTACTTCCGCCTCCCTACAGATGTTGCCATGCAGCGTGGATACATCAACAAGGAGACACTCGACAGACTATCTGAACCGACTGAGGAGGTGCGAGGCTACACTGATCCAACGACAGATGAAAAGCAGAGCTACGCCCAGCTACTGAAAAGATGTAGAGTTGATAAAGCAAGTGGTTTGCGGCTACTTTCACTAGCAGATAGAAGACTTCTCTTCAAGGGTCTCAGAAAGCAAATCACTGTGGACGAGCTGCTTCGTTCACAGATCATCAGCCAAAAGACATACAATGAACTTACAGAGGGTACCATTACAGTGGAGGAGGTCAGCAGAGAGGTGAAGAAATACCTGGAGGGTACCAGCTGTATTGCTGGTGTGTTTGTCGAATCTAGCAAAGACCGTCTGTCTATTTACCAAGCAATGAAGAAGAACATGATCAGACCAGGGACTGCCTTTGAGCTCCTCGAGGCTCAAGCCGCCACAGGATATGTAATTGATCCTATTAAGAACCTAAAACTGAATGTCATTGACGCTGTTAAGATGGGTGTTGTTGGCCAAGAGTTTAAAGATAAACTCCACTCAGCTGAACGAGCAGTCACAGGCTACAAGGATCCTTATTCTGGCAAGATCATCTCACTATTCCAGGCTATGAAAAAGGGCCTCATTCTGAAAGATCATGGCATTCGTCTGCTAGAGGCTCAAATTGCTACTGGTGGAATCATTGATCCACAGGAGAGCCATCGCTTGCCAGTTGAAACAGCATATGAACGTGGCCTCTTTGATGAGGAAATGAATGAAATCCTCACTGACCCATCCGATGACACAAAGGGCTTCTTTGACCCCAACACTGAGGAAAATCTCACCTACCTGCAACTGATGGAGAGATGTATGATAGACCCAGAAACAGGCCTCGCTCTTCTGCTGCTGAAAGAGAAGAAGCGCGAGAAGAAGACATCATCCAAGTCCTCTGTTCGCAAGCGCAGGGTCGTCATCGTTGATCCAGAGACTGGCAAAGAGATGTCTGTGTATGAGGCGTACCAGAAAGGGCTCATTGACCACCAGACCTATCTTGAGCTGGCTGAGCAAGAGTGTGAGTGGGAGGAAATTACCATCACCTCATCTGATGGAGTTGTGAAATCCATGATCATTGACAGAAGGTCTGGTCGGCAGTATGACATTGATGATGCAATCTCAAAGGGCCTGATTGACAAGTCAGCTCTGGAACAGTACCGTGCAGGAACTCTGTCCATCACAGAGTTTGCAGACATGCTATCTGGAAACACGAGCGGTGTCAGATCACGGTCATCCTCCTTTGGCTCCTCTTCCTCTTACCCCATGAGTCCAATACCTTCTATAAAAGCACCAGCAACCACATGGAACGACCCAACTGAGGAAACTGGCCCTGTGGCTGGAATCTTGGACACAGAAACTCTGGAGAAGGTGTCCATCACAGAGGCCATGCACAGGAACCTTGTGGACAATATAACAGGCCAAAGGTTGTTGGAAGCTCAGGCCTGCACAGGAGGTATTATCGACCCAAATACGGGAGAGAAATTTGCTGTTGCGGATGCAATGAACAAGGGGCTTGTGGATAAAATCATGGTTGACCGCATCAGTCTCGCCCAGAAGGCGTGCAACGGATTTGAGGATCCCAGAACCAAAACCAAAATGTCAGCAGCCCAAGCCCTAAAGAAAGGCTGGCTATACTATGAGGCTGGCCAGCGATTCCTTGAGGTTCAGTATCTCACCGGTGGATTAATTGAACCAGATGCTACCAGCAGAGTCCCCATAGATGAGGCCGTGAAGAAGGGCACCTTAGATGCACGCACTGCTCAGAAGTTACGAGATGTCAGTGCATACTCAAAATACCTCACGTGCCCTAAAACTAAGCTGAAGATCTCTTACAAAGATGCTATGGAAAGGAGCATGGTAGAGGAGGGGACTGGTCTGCGACTACTTGAAGCATCATCCCAATCAAGCAAAGGACTGTACAGTCCCTACAGCGTCAGCGGGTCAGGCTCCGCTTCTGGGTCACGGTCCGGCTCAAGATCTGGCTCCAGAAGAGGCAGCATCGATGCCACAGGATCAAGTTTTACAACAACCTTCTCTTCCTCTTCCTCTTCCTTTAGTTCACCAAGCTATGGCCGTCGATACTGAGTTTGAAAGTCAAGCAATGATTTTCTAGGGGAAGGATACACTAAAAAGCCACAGTGCTCACCAGATGCCTACTTCTCAGTGGAATATGGACTACTTTTATTCTGCTCTGCATGTGGTTATTACAGGACGTTAATACAAGTTGAATCATTGTTTATTTTATGTGTCACATTTACTTTTAGTTATGTCTATGCTATTCTATCAGACTTTCTGACTACCGTACTGTAAGCTGCATACACAAGAGCTGTTTATTATTTCCAATATCTATCAAAAAGATTTTTTTTTAAGTTTAAGGACTTACGGTTCCACATACAGGATTCTATTTACGATATCGTGCGTGTTACACTATAACTGCTCATTACCCGATTGAACCAAACAAGCATTTCTGTACATGTGTAAATTTCTGAATATTTGGGGAGAAAAAAAATTTAGCAAAAGAAAGATAATTGCCACTCTGCAGAGCAGAATAAGGAGTCTCCCCCGAAGATGAATAAACACTAAGAGTGTCTGCTTTAAGAACGCCAAGCTTCAAGATCTTTTCTCTCCCGGGCTACACTGCCGCATATACTCTCTCCCATTATCTACTCCATTCCCAGTTGTCTGTCATATAACCCGGAGTTACAGCGACATGCTAACCTCGTGATGAACCTCAAAACAGCAAGCTCCCGTAAATGGAACGACTCTGTAGCCTATTATGACCGTTAACACCATCTGACATCATACAAGGCCCGCCTTTCTGAACACTTTAAAAAGGTACGTTTACTATTTCTCGGTACGTTTGTGTCATTTAGGTTCTAAGCTCCAAAGTCTAATGTTGCTGTTCAATGTTGAATTTCTCTGTTTCAGATATTGCCTCCACAGTTCATCTCCAGCTCCAGTGACCCCCCTCGCATTAATTTGGACTTTGGCCTTCATTTGAATCATGATTTTATCGAACAGTTGCAGAAACACAATTGCTTCTATGACATTTCATTCGATACCATGCTTTGTAAATGCCTGCAAAAATACTCTGAAACACTTAACTGGGCTGTTGAGAATTATAACATGGTGCAGTGCTACACTGCACACTGGCTGATGCATGACTGGCTGAGCATACTGGTATGTTTACTGTGTTATCAGGTATATCAGCCTTTTTTACAGTCCAACTACAGCATCTCACAATCTAACTTCAGAATAACTCTTCATGTCATAAATGTAGTATTCTCACGGGGCTAAAATGTAATGTTTGAATGTTTAATAGCTACAACTTTACAATTGCCCACACACACACACACACACACACACACACACACCTTACACAGATGGTAATGTAATATACATTGACGATTGAGAGAGATCTTTAAGCTTTGCCACCAGACCCAGTATTTGTATTTTCCACAGCATATACTTATTTTGATTGTCCTTTGTAAAGCAACACATATGATCTGTATCATTTTATTTCCGTACTCTTTATTTCTGCTTTGCATGATTTACTAACATTTAAAAAGGTGCAAACACAATGTAGTTGAATCTATTAAAGCATTTATTTTACTTTTACATTTCAAAAGGTTTGAAGGATTTATTTTAAAGAGGGTTGTCAAACCTTGTTGAAAAGGGTGTATTTATAATAAAATGGTGACAAGGAATTTTATTGTAGCACCGTACGCTATGTAAATAAACATGAAAATGAAAGTTCTCTCTGGTTTAGTTATTATTACATTTTGACAGATCATGTTGAATTTAAAGCTGATGACAATATTTTTTTTACATTTGTATCAGATGATCGCAGATTCATTTCAATTAACATAATTACAGTGGGTACGGAAAGTATTCAGACCCCTTTAAATTTTTCACTCTTTGTTTCATTGCAGCCATTTGCTAAAATCAAAAAAGTTCATTTTATTTCTCATTAATGTACACTCAGCACCCCATCTTGACAGAAAAAAACAGAAATGTAGAAATTTTTGCAAATTTATTAAAAAAGAAAAACTGAAATATCACATGGTCATAAGTATTCAGACCCTTTGCTCAGTATTGAGTAGAAGCACCCTTTTGAGCTAGTACAGCCATGAGTCTTCTTGGGAATGATGCAACAAGTTTTTCACACCTGGATTTGGGGATCCTCTGCCATTCTTCCTTGCAGATCCTCTCCAGTTCCGTCAGGTTGGATGGTGAACGTTGGTGGACAGCCATTTTCAGGTCTCTCCAGAGATGCTCAATTGGGTTTAGGTCAGGGCTCTGGCTGGGCCAGTCAAGAATGGTCACAGAGTTGTTCCGAAGCCACTCCTTTGTTATTTTAGCTGTGTGCTTAGGGTCATTGTCTTGTTGGAAGGTGAACCTTCGGCCCAGTCTGAGGTCCAGAGCACTCTGGAAGAGGTTTTCTTCCAGGATATCTCTGTACTTGGCCGCATTCATCTTTCCTTCAATTGCAACCAGTCGTCCTGTCCCTGCAGCTGAAAAACACCCCCATAGCATGATGCTGCCACCACCATGTTTCACTGTTGGGATTGTATTGGGCAGGTGATGAGCAGTGCCTGGTTTTCTCCACACATACCGCTTAGAATTAACGCCAAAAAGTTCAATCTTGGTCTCATCAGACCAGAGAATCTTATTTCTCATAGTCTGGGAGTCCTTCATGTGTTTTTTGGCAAACTCTATGCGGGCTTTCATATGTCTTGCACTGAGGAGAGGCTTCCGTCGGGCCACTCTGCCATAAAACCCCGACTGGTGGAGGGCTGCAGTGATAGTTGACTTTGTGGAACTTTCTCCCATCTCCCTACTGCATCTCTGGAGCTCAGCCACAGTGATCTTTGGGTTCTTCTTTACCTCTCTCACCAAGGCTCTTCTTCCACGATTGCTCAGTTTGGCTGGACGGCCAGGTCTAGGAAGAGTTCTGGTCGTCCCAAACTTCTTCCATTTAAGGATTATGGAGGCCACTGTGCTCTTAGGAACCTTGAGTGTTGCAGAAATTCTTTTGTAACCTTGGCCAGATCTGTGCCTTGCCACAATTCTGTCTCTGAGCTCCTTGGGCAGTTCCTTCGACCTCATGATTCTCATTTGCTCTGACATGCACTGTGAGCTGTAAGGTCTTATATAGACAGGTGTGTGCCTTTCCTAATCAAGTCCAATCAGTTTAATTAAACACAGCTGGACTCCAATGAAGGAGTAGAACCATCTCAAGGAGGATCAGAAGAAATGGACAGCATGTGAGTTAAATATGAGTGTCACAGCAAAGGGTCTGAATACTTATGACCATGTGATATTTCAGTTTTTCTTTTTTAATAAATTTGCAAAAATTTCTACATTTCTGTTTTTTCTGTCAAGATGGGGTGCTGAGTGTACATTAATGAGAAATAAAATGAACTTTTTTTGATTTTAGCAAATGGCTGCAATGAAACAAAGAGTGAAAAATTTAAAGGGGTCTGAATACTTTCCGTACCCACTGTACTATCCACAAATGTGTGTGTTCAATTACCCAGGACAGCTTACCTTTACCTTTGAGTGCCATGTTTCACCATCTACAAATATGTCGGTTGATATTTGTCTTGAGTTCAGTGGTGAGTTAGAAAAGCTGGAAAGAATTCAAACTCTCCCCTTTGACACAAATTTCACTTCTGGATCAATCAACTTTTTAGATGTTAAATTAATACAAAATGGTGAAAAAAAACTACAAACAAGTATTCCCACTAAACCCACTGACAGGAAAACTGATGACTGCAAGCAGTTTTAATCCAAGACCAGTGAAAGAAAGATTGTTGTTACAACAAGACCAGAGAAAGATCCAGAATCTTTACTGAGACCAGACAGAAGAAAAGGTGACAAGTTAATGCAGGTGATACATGTGATGAGATTATCCTATGGGATGCCTTGTTATAAGGCTTTATAGATACATTATGTGTTATGATTGTGCTTATAAAGCATTATAGACATGACTTTGATGACTGCAGAGAACGATGGACTTTAATTAGAAACAGTGCAAAGGCTTCAAGTTAATTTGTATTGCTCTTCTGTATATGGCAGCACACTGAAAGCCAATATAAATATAGCTCCACGTGATGTTATAGGTAATAGGGGGTTCAACTCCTGTCCTCCACTGTAAACTCAGTGCAGGCAAAAGTAAAACCAGATACTCATTAAGGCAGAAGCACATCATTGTTATATTATCAATGCAAAATTTAATGCAACGATATACTGTTATAGAATTCAATATATAGCAACACCTCATATTTAAACCTGTTGGAATTGTTTTATAGTATAGCATGTAAATAGAGATAGAATAGAGTTGAAAGAAAAGTCAAAGACAAAAGTCATAGTATAGTATGTCGATAAAAGTAAAATAAAGTCATAGTATGTTGAAGAAAGCTTTTGAGAAATATAGTATAGTATGTCTTAAAAAAAGAAAGTCATAGTTTAGTATGTTGAAACGTAAGAAAAAGGAGAAAAAAACTCCTAGTATAAAATGTGGAAAAGTTTTTAAAAAGTCAGTATAGTATGTAGAAAAAATATCATGTATGTCTAAAAGAAGTTTTTAAAAAAGTATGTCGGAAAAGGTTAAAAAAAATTGTACATCAAAATGATTTCTTTAAAATCATAGTTTTATAGTTTTCATGTTGAAAAAATTGTATAGTAATTCTAAGAAAAAAATCATAGTTCAGAATGTCGAAAAAAGTTTTAATAATATAACAAATAAAGTCATAATATATGTCGTAACAATTTATAAAATAAAAGTCATAGTATAGTATGTCGAGGGAAAAAAAGTCTTGATTACATCAGTGCCTTTCACAACTTTTAGGACATTGGGATTTTAATAAGGGTAATTTGAGTGTTTGCACTGTAGTATTTAATTATCCTCTCCTCTACAGACGTCTATTTATACATTAATGGTCACACATTCATCGGCGTTTTTATTTCAAAATGGCTGCAGAACGCGACCACAGCGTCTCTTCGCTTCTATACTCTTTGACAAACCTGTCTGTCACGGACACTACGTTGGCAGATGTGAAAAGACACCTGTATCCATGGATCAGACCGACCAATCAGCGCTTGAGTGGTCTCTCAATGGTCGCTGGCCGAGGGCCATTTTCATTTTCCCACGCATGGAAATGATACATTTAATACAAAGTTCATACTGGGTCATAAACATGGACTGTATAAAAGCCCCCATACGTGTGAGGAGGGGTTCAAACGTAGAATAAAGCGCATTGTACTACAACATGTCCTTATCCAAAGAACAACTGTCGGTAGCCGCCGCCGAGCAATCACGAAAGCCCAAATGCACCCGGTGCCGACACCATGGGATCATCGTCCCGCAGAAGGGCCACGTTAAGTGCTGTCCTTTTCTCAAATGTGACTGCTGGAAGTGCTATATCATCACACAACGGACTCACATCACGGCCCTCCAGCGAAGTCTGAAGAAAGTCTCAAAGAACCCCCAAAATAAAGAGCAACGACTCGGCGTCCACACCGCCGTCAGCGCGGGGAAACCAGCGGCTGAGGAGACTTGTAGCCCCTTGGCCCCGGATGAAGAGGGTCTGTCGGCCGCATTGGGCACGGAGCGGGCCGCCGCAAACCGGAGTAAACCTGCCGCGGGGGGGCAGACGTCGGCCGGTTTGGACAGCGGAGAGGTGGTGCCCTTCACTTCCAGTGAGGAAGAGCCTCGCACACGCTTTAGTAAGTTATGTTATCATTACCGTTAATTATAACAGGTTTAATAAAACAACTCTTAAGTTATAGCGGATAGAGCTGTTAGGATACTGTTGGATACATATTGAAGCTTCGTCACATAAGCTGAACTGTTATGACGGAGCTAGCTCCCTAAAATAACAACAACAAATTCACTTAAAGCACCAAAAATAATATTAAACAACGAACATGACGGGACATAATGCAGATAACATAACGTTTGTTGTAGAAAATAACATGTAATGATATTTTAGGCCTGTGAGTAAATCGATATACACTTTTGGATTTTCTATCCTTAACAACTTTGTGATTTGCGAGTAAAAACTTTATACACTCCGGATGGCACGAGACTGGTTTTATTGCAGTTTTTAAAAGAAAACACCGGCGGCCAAATGTCCGGTGGGCTGACGTCATCAACGGCAATTAATGGAACACCTGCGGCTCAGTTGAACGGAGCAGCGCGTGAGGCGAGCGGCGCAGGGTGCGTTCGTTATGAGTCACTTTGAGCGCCGGAGGGCAGTCCGCTCGTGTTATAACCGTTCGGTTGTTCAGAGCTCCACACTTTTTTTAAACTGATGGATAACGTTTTTTTCTTTCATCCATTTCAACTTTGCAGTCCGTGAATCCATAAAGAAATAAGATATCATTGTATTTTTAGAGCTAAAACAATTAGTTGATTAAACGATAAGGTTATAACGACAATGAATCAGCACTATGACATATACAATAGTTTCAGTCATTTTTCAAACAAAAAAGCCAAGCACTGACTCAAGTTCTTTTACTTTAAAGTTGCATAAAATGGAAGTACTACAGTATAGCTCTACTCCACTACATTTGTCTGACAGCGTTACTCGTTACATTTAAAAGCTCTGGAAGATGCAGCGTCACAAAGTCTTTTTAGAGACACGTGGTTCTCTCAGGACAGCGACGCTACAAACGTGAGACGATCTTAAAGAATATGATGCATTTCTGTAAATTATACCAAACATTATATGAAGGAGTTAAAATCAACATCTACAGCAGTAAATACTTCTTTTAATACTTACAAATATATACAAGTATATTTACAAGTAAATATGGTTGATAATATTTGCACACTTTTAATTAAAGTTTTGAATGCAGAACTTCATTTTGTAGAGGAATATTTTCACAATGTAATATTGCTACTCTTAAGTAAATAATGTAAATACTTCCTCTACCACACATGATATTTAAATAAACATTTTAGGGGAGTTTGAATATAATCGACAAAACAAGCAATTTGAAAACTTCACCATGAACTCAGGAATATATAAATGGTATTTTGTCACTTTTGTTCATCGCAAATTATTAAATGAAATGGTGAAATCATCAGTTGCAGCCCTGGTAATGTTGTCATGTACATATTGTTGCCAGGTTAGATTGAATTTTGGCCCTAATGTAAATGCATATGGAGAAACCTCCTCCCTCACCCTGAAACACCAGCTTATATGATATTTAAAATGAATAAAAAATGACTCTTTAAGTAGATTTGAATGCTCAAGTGTATTATAATGTCTTACCTTTCCTTCCAGATGCCCCTTACTTTGGTGGATTTGGCCCGGTTGCACCTCTGCCTGTTCTTCACGTCCCGTGGATGTCGGGTTACCCCAGCGGCTACGGGCCGCGTCCAAACCTCCTGCTCCACAGGCCGTGGTGGCCCCCCGTGCCCACTGGGCTTTACAACAATGGCCTCCGCGGGGCCCTGATGTTCCCCCACTTCCAGCCGGCTGCTCCGCATTACCCGCCTCCACAGGGGCCTGGACCTGCTGCTGTGAGACGGCCGCTCCTCTTTGAATACCGTAGGCCAGCTGTGAAGTGTGTAAACAAAACTGATATTATGACCTAATGAAACAATGTATGCGTTTATACGTCAGGAGGATTGCAGACCGGTCTTCCTCACCCTCCGACCCCTCGCGCTCCCAGAGCCAGGAGGAGCCGATGTCCTGGCAGCACCCACCGTCTCCTCCGTCCAAACCCACTGAGCCAGATGTGGAGGAGCTGGATTAAAGCACAGTGAGCAGGTTCATAAGGGGGGCTACATTATAAGAACTGAGCCATTTCCTCCAGGTTTTGTTTTTTGCAGTTTATCGGCAAACCTGTTTGTTTCCCCTTGTTTGGTACCAAACAACACATCAGACACAAGTATTGACAACAGTCCTGTTCACATTGCTGTCATGAATGTTTCTGCACACTGTTTGGTGAATGTCTCGTTTTGAATTGATATTAAAATTTGTTGACAAAGAAAAATAAAATTTTCATATCCATCTTTTTTTTGTGTCATATGGATGCATGCAAGGCAGCAAGGAGAGTGACCCAGATGCAGCAGACAGGAACAGTTCAGGGATGTAAACACAGAATGGAAGAGAACTAGCTCACCCAATGATGGTCCAAAACCAGGAGGGCAGTCCAAGCAAGGCACACTTCTCCAAAGGGGGGGTCAGGCAGAGAGTCCACGGTTCAAGCTGTCAACTTACTTTTAGGTAGCGGGGACAGAGTGTCAGAGGTTTGAAAGAAAATGACAAGAAAGCAAGCAGGCAACTTTGCAGATCTGTGAGGGAATGAGTGTAAAGGGCCAGACTGCAGCGCTGACGAGGGCAAAGTGGAAACAGGTGAGCAGGTGGAGTCTGAGGGCGTCTCTGGACAGTCCAGAGAACGGCAATGAAAGAAGGAATGTGGCTGAAGGGAGGCACAGACTGTTAGATTCAATATGTTTTTCACTAATGATATTGACATTGCCTCCTGCTAACCTTTAATGTAATACTGTTGTAACTAAAACTAGTTTAGAGACAAAAACAACAAGCATGATAATTTTGGCCTAATTTCAACGATTGAACAATTCCGTCACTTTATTTCATTATTAGTATTATTAGTATTTATGAAGCATTATCTTTTTTAATGTCATTCCACTAGTCATTGAAATATTATATATATTGCGGATCATATTGAAGACTACAACTTTCATTTAATTTTGAAAAAAAAAAACATGTACTTTGAGAAAATATTCATGTTTGTTTTTACACTAAAGAAAATATTAAAATAAAAAGCATTTGAATAATGACTACCGCAGTATTAGTCATGCTCTAACTTATATGGACGGGTGGGAATTTCAGCTTCATTAAAAAAGGAAATCTCTTTGACAGTATAAATGAAGGTGCGGTTTTCATTAGTTTCACTCTTTTACAAAAACATTTTTTAACCTCCTTAAGAACCCCTTAAAACATGCATATATTCCATTAAAATACCTAAATATACTACAATCCTTTCGTGTATCCATTAAATATCCTCTCAAAATCCCATTAAAGTACCTTAGTTAGTTAATAATAGTTATTATTAATGTGTGAACTAATTGTAATTTAAGGGGATTTAGTTATATAGTCAATAAACTTCCCTTGTCCATTCTCCTTTTCTGCTTCCATCGCTCCTGTTTTAAGTATGAAGCCTACATTTTGTAATAACATCCACCAGGGGGGGGGGTTTACTTTCAACATTTAAGATCTGTCAAGAGAGGTTAAACGTCACATCCCCACTGATAGTAAACCTTCTCAAACCTTAAAATCAGTGGTGGAATGTAACCGAGTACATTTGTTATGTACATTTTTTGGGGTACTTGTATTCCTGTATGTTTTCATTTCATGCTACTTTATACTTCTACTCCACAACATTTATTTGACAGCGTTAGTTATTAGTTAGTTTGCAGATTTTACAGAAAAAAATATATATGATAAGCTGTGTTTTATAACAGAATACAGTTTTGTACAATAACACAGGCTGCTAACTTTTGTGTCTTATGACAGTGAGTTGTTAGCAGTTCTACCAAAGCGACACATCATCTAAACCCCTCAAATGGTTTGACTTAAATAAATGCCTGAGTCTCTAAAACTCTCAAATAATTTACACACAGAGCCAAGATTAAGGGGTAGTTCCCACACCCCCCCATGCCAAAATAAATAAATAAATGAAATAAAATGAAATAAAATAAAGAAAAGTAAAGTAAAATAAAATAAAATAAATATGCAGGACTTTTACTTGCTGTGGAGTACTCTTCTTAATACTTCTGTGTGTCTCGAAATATATTTGTCTGAAATCATATTCATTGTTTGAAATGTATTCATGTATATTCACAATTATACTGGGATATGGGCCTGTATCTTTGTCATATATTCACATCACTGAGGCAGGGTGGTTGTGCTCTTTTGAGCGCCTCAATCATGTACATTTTTACAGGCAGATAAATGCATAGTTCATTCTGTAGGTCAACAGCTTTGGTGTACAAGGGAAACAGGATGCTCTGTTAGAGGGTGAAAGAACGGCCAGGGGATAAGGATTAGGGAGTCTGTTTTAGACACAGCGAGTTGGGGAGTAAGCCCAGTGGCCTTGGAGCCCGTAGTCATTTTAGGTTTTCACAGGGCAAAGACGAGCGCTGGTCATCTTGTCCTACGGCCAGATCAGATCAGAGGAAGACGAGTGGGGAAGAAGACTGTGACTACTCAAATATCTAAATCCAGTATCCTCTGTTTTGACATACACAGTGTAACTTGTCTGAGCAGGAAACGTGGGACAGGAGGGGGGAGACCAGGACAGAATGAGGGTATAAAGTGATGTACATTTCCATTGTGAAGCCAATCGACTGCTAAAAGTGCTATGATTGTGTGCGACTCCAGCCACCCCTCACACAGTCTCTTCAGCCTCCTGCCCTCTGGGAGAAGATACCGGAGCCTCCGTGCTCACACCACCAGACTCTCAAACAGCTTCGTCCACCAGGCTGTTAGGAAGCTGAACTCTCTCAACTCTCTCCCTCCTCTCTTTTAAGACTCCCCATGTCCAACTGCTGCTAAATACAGATTGATAGTTTTTTTGTTTTTTTTCTCTTATTATATATATATATTGTCTAAATGTTTTTTTTAATCTATTGCACTGTATTCACTTTATATGTTTATATGTTGGACTAGAGAGAAACGTCTTTTCAACTCCCCTGTATGTTCAGTGCATTGTGGAATTAACAATGAAGCGAACTTTGAACTTTGAACTTTGAACTTTGACTCCGGACAGCTCGGTTTACTTGTACACTTTGTGATGCAAATAAATCTGCGTGAACTGAAGAAAATTCAATCTCTCTTGTGGTGTCTCAGCACGAGTCAGATAGATATCAGTTACTGAGCCAGCAGTCAGGTATTGAGTTTTATCACATCTTAAAGTCAAGGAAGCTGAGCATCGACATCGAAAATCAACCACACTTCTTACACCCTCGGTAATTAAACCTGAAAGTAGATCAGGTGATTTGGAACACCACAGTAGGCGATGTCACACTATGTTGGGTCATTAGTGAAATTTGTCACTGAAGTGTTGGAGCTGTGTGACGGATTCCAAGAAGAGGCGTGTAGTGTGACACCTTGTGGGATTGTCATCAGAGTGATTTATGTCGGCATCAGCAAGTTCAAGGAGTTCACTAAAGTGGAGCTGCCAGGAGGTGAGGAGTGTGTGTGTTGTGTGTGTGTGTGTGTGTTACGTGTGGGCTTCTGTTTGTGTGGGTGGGGATACAATACAACCTGTGATGACAACCGTATGTACCTGCATTTGTGACGGAGCTATTCAAACAGGGTTAAATCATCAACCTTGGTTTCTTGAAGGGTGATTATGTGACATGCACATCGATGTTTTGTATTCAGACCCTTACTCATTCAATAAAAAAGGTGTTCCTGATGCCACTGCCCCGGCACATTGCAACAAAGAAAGTTATGCATGCAGCAACAAGACTGGTAAAAGATCTGCAGCATCTTGTTGCACACATGAAAGGACCGGAGTTTCCTCAGGAAGGAGAGTCTCCTCTGTCCTTTCCTGTAAGCGGCCTCAGTGTTGCATTTCCCGGTGAACTCCAAGATCCTTGATCCACCACCTCCACCTCCTCTCCCAGAATGTTGATGGGATCAATAGCAGTCCTGGTTCTCCTGAAGTCTATCTCTTAGTCATGTTCAGGATTAGGTGGTTCCCTCTGCTCCACTCAGTGAAGCTGGCCACCGTGTATTCTGATTCCTGACCACCTTTAATATACCCAACAACTACGGAGTCATCAGAGAATTTCTGCATATGACAGGGACTGCTAGTCTGAGGTGCATAAAGTGAGCAGAAGAGGTGGCGTTCCCCTGCTGAGCTTCTGATCAACGTGTCAGACATGCCGTTCCACAGGCTGCCGTCTGTCTGTGTGGTCAGTAATCCAGGAGATGCTGGAGGAGTCTATCTGCATCCCCTGGAGCTTCTCACTCAGCAGCTGGGGCTGGATTGTGTTGAAGGCACTTGAGAAGTAAAAAAAGAAAAAAAGAAATGATCCTCACAGTGCTTTCTGCCATGTCCAGATGTGAGTGAGAACGCTGCAGCTGGTAGGTGATGGCATCGTCAAATCCAACCCGGTGGCACGACCGGGGGGGCAAAGTGAAGCCAATGCTTCATGTCTTAAAACTTACATTCTTTCTAATGGCCATCAGGGGGCGACTCCTCTGGTTGTATAGAAGTCTATGAGAAAATGACTCTACTTCTCTCTTGATTTATTCCCTCAGTAAACATTGTAAACATGAGTTTATGGTCTCAATCTCTAGTTTCAAGTCTTCTTCAATACAGCATGATGTTCATTTAGTACATTATGGTCCATTTAGAGTCAAACAGACCATAAAGCAGAGTATGCTTCAGGGCGGGATTACTGTGATTGACAGGTCGCTTCTACTACCAGAGACGTATACAGCGTCTCTACGTCACTCCTCCGCATTCCAAATATAGTAACGCTCCAGACGAGCGGGTGGGGGTGGAGGTGGATGTGGGTGGTGATGTTCGCTTCAGGATCATTATCAGCCTACAAGGCCACAACAAAAAGGTAAGTCAGGTGTGACAAAACAGCATGCAGCATGGCGCCAAAGTGAACCATTTGTTGCCATTCGGCTGCCCTCACCAAGCTAGCAACTCTGTGAGGCTGTACTCAGGCACATCTGTGCAAAAAATACAAACTGAAGGTTTTAAATGATGAGGATGAAAGGCCAGACCAAATGTCATTGCAATCCGAATGCTAGTTTCTGACACAAGAGACAACCTCATGGTGGCGCTAGAT